CCCCCCCCCCCCCCCCCCCCCCCCCCCCCCCCCCCCCTCCTCACATGGCAGTGGTAAATGCCACCACTCGGACTTGCTATTTGAGCTATCACATGAAAGGGAGTGGCACTATACCTCCCTCTATGGTTTGGTAATTTGAATGTAGTTGTGCTAAATATGATAGTTTGATTCATAGCCAATTCCTACATTTAGCCACTTTACTTTGCAATTATTGATCTTAGTTTTTGTTTTTGTTTCTTCATATTTATATTTACTCTTTTTAGACTTAAGTGGGTTGCTAGAACACGTGCAAGAAGGCAATATTTATTGAGAATATTGCCATCTATACCACAAAAAACAAAGGCATAGCATAGGTAAAGGAACCTTTTTTCAAACTTTATCAAGCAATTCTCAAAAAAGTGAGCAAACTAAAAATCTTAAGTAGATAGAGAATTCTAAATTGCTTAAAGATGATTCTGAGAAGGAAGAGGAGTAACAACAACATGAAGAAGAGCCTTGACCCTTTGAAAAGTCAAGTTGCACAAAGAAAAATGGCTACAAAAGAACTAAATGTAGCCAATAATGGAGTTAAATAAGGAAAAGTAGAAAGCCAAACCATGAGCACATGAAACTTTTGGATACAAGCTCATTCAATTGTTCCTCAAAGTTTAAAGTGAAAGTTGTTTCAAATTTGCTACAATAGCTGACAATCAAAAAAAAGTTTCACCTCTCTAAATGCTTTTATGGCACATGATCTCAAATCTACTGGTGTGATATTGTAGACAAATTTAGATTTTCTATTCAATAGCAAAACTTTGTGTAAATAGAGTCCACTAGTAAAGGGTTTAGCACTCTTGAACGAGAAAAGAACTTCTTGGAATGAGATATGGCAACAGCTTGACATAGAATTCAAGGTTATTTTGAGGGATGAAATTTATACGGAATGAAAAGAGGTTCTTTCCAATCAGATGCTACTGGTGTAGAAAAAAATTCACTGATTTGGGAAATTACAGGAGATGGAAGATGTTTAGAGAGCAAAAGGGTAACCCCTAAACACAACTCATATATTGGACATCATTTTGATTTTCAGTCCAAAAAAAGCTATGTAAGATTTGAGGCTTATGAAAGCAATATCTTCCTATATTTTTGTTACAATTTCATGAAGAAGGTGTAAGAGGATCTTAAAATACCTGATATTTTGTGTGATTCCATAGAAATCAAATTGATTTAAGATCAAAAGTAAGTTGTTGCTATGCAGATTGTGAATCTTATTTTTAAATATTTTTAAAGTGATATGGGATCAAGGTTAAAGAGAAAATGTATATAGCAAAATTTGGGGTGTCTTTTTTTCAAATATTAATGAGATATGCAAAAAATATAATAATTAATGATAGTGTTAGTCTTTTATATACATACACAAAATTTATCCTTTTTTCAAGGCATAAGGAAACCTTTGAACAATTAGTAGAAAGGAAGTCTTCTTTGCCCTATGGCTTGATGGTGAAGTTGGGAAAATGAGTGTGCAACTAGACACTTGTTTAGAGCCTATGGTCACAAAGGGCTCACAAGTTTTTCAAATTAAGTCCTTAAGGTCTTTTATTCTACCATGATCCTAAGAGATGACTAAATTATCTTTTTAACATTCCTCGGTACAATAAGATTTGATCATAGAACCCTTTAAATCCCAAGTTTTGGATGCATCTCTTACTTTTAGAACCTTAGGGAGGAACATTATGACTTAACAACCTGATATAGGTACCTTTACTCCCCATTTCCATTCTAAAAGGAAGGCATAAACTTTTAGGAAGGAGCAAGGATTAATGAGCTACATGGTACTCAAATAGGACACCATTCCACATGAGTTGGGAACACTATAGTTGATTTCTTTTTCGAGAATGGAAATTACTTTTGAGCACTTTACTAAGTGGCCTCTTTGGCACCACCCAAGTCCATGCTCACTCCCACCAAAGCCCCTAACCCCTTAACCTTAACCTTAAGTTAGTTTGGAAGCATCACTAGAGAGTTCTTTCAAGACTAATTTTTGCACCTCATTATCCTTACTATATTTTTGGAAACCCCCTCCTCCTCTTATATAACCTATAGATTATACTACTTATGTTACTCAAACCCAAGGATGCTTAATTTCATATCTTCCAAAACTTGAAAAAAAAGAGCACTTTTATTTATACCCTTTCCTTTTATATTCTCAAACTACTTATAATTAAAATGCATATTTAAAGTAGGAATATTATGTTGAATTCACATTTTAGACTAGCCTAATTAATGGGACCACATATTTTTGGGAAACAAGCATAAAATTTCTCTATATTATGACCCCATTCTACAAGAAAAGATCTAGGAGTTCAAAGATCTTCAATAATAATCATGGTGAACATAAATAAGGGAAGGATGCCCTAGAATAATGAGGAGGTTCTTCTTGAAGTCATAGTTGAACCCTAGTAGCATACAACAAATTGACACCCAAAATGATATCATAAACTTGATGTAACAAAAGAGTGTGCATATATTCCCTAAGTTGCAGAGGTATATATACTATACACAACAACCAGACTAAAGACTTTAATTAACAAAAACAATTCATAAAGGCTGAGAACATGAGGCCTCTTGTAATTCCAAACTACAGATCATAAAATACCAGACAAATGAGATAAAGCTAAAATCCACCAAGCTTAAGACCAGATAACACTAGAGAATATTAATAATTTGTTCTCCATCAACTCCATATCATAAGTTGGGAAAGAGAGTGGTAATAGGAAACCTCCTATTATCTATGCATGTAAGAGGAGAAGAATAAGATATGTTTATTAGAATTTATTAGTTTTAGAAATGATTGACACAAAGCATTTCAACATCACTATCGTCATTTTAAGATACAATAGCTAACAATGATATTGTCAACCCTGACAATTGTAACAATATGGCTCAAGTCCACACCCACAGCCTCCTCCTTGACTGTGTCCACGCCTGTCTACACCCCCACAACTGCCATAGCTACTGCAGTGCAGTTGAGGTGAGATCAATATCCAGACTGAAGGTATACATGAGAGTGCTGGAGAATAAGGAGGTACATCACTAAAGCTTTCCTCCATACTGTGAGTAATCACAATAACATCAGCAAATGTCTTATCACAAAAGCTTCAATAAGACTATAAACATGATAGAACAATCTTAACTTTTGACTCATCCTCCAAATCAATTTGTTATTTCACCATGTTGCCACCCTAACTTCAGAGGTGACCTCATTTATATGGCATTCAAAGGCTTCTTGAAAACCATGCAAGAAGGCAACATTATGATTTGCAAATTATAGTGTTGCATCACCTTGCAAACAAGGAGGAAACGCCCTATGTCATCCCATCCATAATATGTGGCCACCATCCAGAAATGCTAAATCACATATGCTAAATCAGGCAATGCATTAGATGCAAACATTAGTTATATACTAGGTGTATGTAGGAGCACTTGATTCACAACCAAGTGCTATAACAATTGTTACACCCATTTAGAAGTTGTGCAAACATCAAAGCTAGCTGTTGCTCAAGCTATTAGGAGCTTGATCCTCACCACCACCAACAAGAATTTACTTAATATCACCAATTAAATGACCCTGTGAATAGATAAATTAGGATTACTAAGATCCATATTGTGGTACTAATATAGTATATGTATAACACATATAGAGATATTGGAGACTTTTTTTTTAATAATTTTTATACTTAGATCAAGTAAATTTATTTTGTAAATGTCTGAAATTAACTTGTTAAGTAATAAAAAAGGTGAACATACATTCAACGGTTTAGATTAAATTTGTGTTTCGCTTAGTGTGACCCTTTTGACCGTTTTGTACGGACATTAGGGTTAGGGTTCATGGCGTCCCGGCTATGGCGTCACGCCGCGAGGTGCGCTCTCTCCCCCCACCACCAGCGCCGCCTTTATGGCCTCATCCCCATGGTGATCGAGCACACCGCCCGCGGCGAGCGTGCCTACGACATATTCTCGCGCCTGCTCAAGGAGCGCATCGTCTGCATCCACGGCCCCATCGCCGACGACACCGCCTCGCTCGTCGTCGCCCAGCTCCTCTACCTAGAGTCCGAGAATCCGCTCAAGCCCATCCACCTCTACATCAATTCCCCGGGCGGCGTCGTCACTGCCGGGCTCGCGATCTACGACACGATGCAGTACATCCGGAGCCCGGTGAGCACGCTGTGCGTCGGCCAGGCGGCGTCCATGGGATCGCTCCTCCTCGCGGCGGGGGAGCCCGGCCAGCGCCGATCGCTGCCCAATGCGAGGGTGATGGTGCACCAGCCATCCGGGGGAGCCAGCGGCCAGGCCAGCGACATCGCGATCCAGGCGCGCGAGATCCTCGACATGAGATCCCGGCTCAACAAGCTCTACGCCAAGCACACGGGGAGTAGCATCGAGAAGATCGACCAGAGCATGGAGAGGGATCACTTCATGTCGCCCGAGGAGGCCAAGGAGTTTGGGCTCATCGATGAGGTGATTGTCCAGCGGCCGGAGTCGCTGGTGGCGGACAGTGTGGGGGTGAAGGCGGCGGCGGAGGGTGGCGGCGCTGGTGGCGGCGCTGGTGGTGGTGGTGAGAAGGCGAGTGTCACTGCCACTTCTTCTTCTACCAAGTGAAGTGAGTGAGTGAGCTCTTTGATTCTGGATAGCTCCACACTCTCAGGGATTGGAATGGAAGAACTGGAAGAACTGGATCAGGGAAAGAGAGTTTCTCCAGAAGTCTTGGAGGATGCTCCAATCCTCTCTCAAAACACATTTTTTTGTGTAAGGGAATGATTATGATGGTTTGGTTCGCGAGATCTCTGTCACTGGAGCTAGCAATTTTTGTATTTCAGCTTCTAGGTAAGTTACAAGCTCTTCAAGCAAACACTGGTGAGGTTAGTTCTTGGCAATTTGTGAAGAAGATTTCTAAGGAAGAGCTCCATATTTCTAAATATTTTGGGGAAGAACTCAATACTGTCTTCGAATTATAACGAGCCATAGCAAGACTAGCGCCCAGCCTGCTACCAGGAAGATCTCAAACGCCAGCACTAGCATGTAAAAAACCATGGTTGGAAGGCTTAGAAAAAAGAGAAACCTCAAACATAAAGTTTTCATGCTTTCTATTGACCTTGGAAAGTCATAGAAAATTTCGAAACGAATTTTTCAACAGTGTTTGTGTTTGTTCTGAGATCATCTAGGTAGCTATAGTTTTTCTACCATTGCTACATGACCCCAAAAACATGTATATATATATTGTTGAAAGCTCCTGGAATGTGTGTATAGATTTTATCCTCCTTGTCAGTAGAAAGGAAGAACTTTGGCATTAGGGTTTTGGGGGGTTTTGAATCCATGGGTTTTTGAGCGAGAGCGATGCCAGGGATCGCACGAGCGCTCATGAAAGCGACGACGAGCATTGCCTTCCCATCGTCGCCGCCGCCGCAATCCTTCCAGTTCCAGGCTTTTCTCCCACGCAAATCCCTCGCACAGGCCAGCAGCAGCAGCATCAATCGCAGCGTCTCTTCCGCTTCTCCTTGTTCTTCTTCTAGGGATTTTGCATCGCCGCTCTTGTCCACGACGCGCCGTTGCTCGCAAATCGCCGCCGCGCAGGGCCAGCATTTGGATGTGGGCGATGGCGCCAGCAGCAAGGAGGAATCCAGTGAATCCAGTGAGAGCAGTGGGCAGCAAATCCAGCGCGCCGGCAAGGCGGGGGCGGCGATTGAGAGGAGGCGAAGGGCGGCCGCTCCTCTGCCCGACCTTCTCACTGTCAAAGGCATTGGGCCTAGGAATATGGAAAAGCTCGTCGCCAAGGGAATAGGGAAGCTTGTGGAGCTCAAGCAGCTTTATCGTGACAAGGTACGCTTTGTCTAGAGTTCTTTTCCTTGGTTTTTGAGTAGAGAAGAGTTCTAGCTTTCTCTCTTGGGCTTGGAGAGATTTTTGGATTGATTTGGTCTTCTTTGTCTTAAGTAACCAGGCCGAGAGCTAGATTGTGGTTTGCTTCCAGTTCTAGATTTCTCTCTTCTTTGTTTTCTCGAGGCTTTGATTCATAACTATCTCTTCAAGTTAATCAAAACGTATCCATGCATGGTTTTTAATCTAAGGGGCTGGACTCGCTAGATTCTATCTATTTGTTCTCAATCATTTTTAAACTCACTCTTCGTTTTTCTTTGTTTCCAGTTTCGTACGGGTGGAACCGAGAAGCTGGTGGAATACCTTGTTGCCTCCGTGGGAGTACACAAGAATCACGCGAATGTGATCGCCTCCTTCATCAAGGATGCCGTGGACAAGGAGCTGGAGAGCAGCGGCCAAGCCTCGCAAGCCAAGAAGAGGCTCACCTTCTGTGTGGAGGGCAACATCAGCGTTGGAAAGACCACCTTCCTCCAGCGGATCGCAAACGAGACTTTCGAGCTGCGAGATCTCGTGGAAGTTGTCCCGGAGCCGATTGGGAAGTGGCAGGACGTCGGGAAGGAGCACTTCAATGTTCTCGACGCCTTCTACGCCGAGCCGTCGCGGTACGCCTACACTTTTCAGAACTATGTGTTCGTCACTCGGCTGATGCAAGAGCGTGAATCCGCGAATGGACTCAAGCCTTTGAGGCTCATGGAGAGGAGCGTCTTCAGTGACAGGATGGTAAGCTCTCAAGTCTTGTTTGAGCTCTCTTGCATTGCTTCGTTTCTAGTTCGTAGTTTTTCTTCTGGACTGATTGAAACGGGTTCTTTTCGTGTTTTGACGAGAGTTTTTGTTTTTCTCTTCACTTCTGCCAAGAGTTTTTCGTTTCTTCGTGATGTAGTAACTTACGCTGGTATGTCGCTTGCTCAGGTGTTTGTGCGTGCCGTGCACGAAGCAAAGTGGATGAGCGAGATGGAGATCAGCATCTACGACTCGTGGTTCGACCCGGTGGTAGCCGAGCTTCCCGGTTTGGTTCCCGACGGATTCATCTACTTGCGAGCCAGTCCAGACGCTTGCCTCCGGCGGCTCCAGATGCGAAAGAGACCCGAGGAGCAGAAAGTGACGCTCGACTACCTCAAGGGACTCCACGAGAAGCACGAGCAATGGCTGTTCCCAACCACGCCGTCCCCCAACAGCGTCATGTCTGTCAAAGAGTGGCTTCCAACTCTCCACCAGCCGCCGCCCAGGATCAAAGACCGCGTCTTCTACCTCAAAGGCGATCACGTCCACTCTTCCATCCGGGAGGTGAGAAGAAAAAGTTCTAAAGAGTTTGCAAGCTCTAAGCTTTCTTTTCAGGTCCCGGCATTGATCCTCGACTGCGAGGCTTCGATCGACTTCAGCAAAGACGTGGAGGCCAAAGCAGAGTAAGCAAAAAACACACAGTTTCTTTGATCACAAACGTTGTTTTCTTCCTCTTTGTTTTTTGTTTGCCAGATATGCTCGACAAGTAGCCGATTTTTTCGAGTACGTGAAGCAAACTCGAAATGTGGAAGCCGGCGTTCGTGACAATCTTTTGCTGCCAGCTGGGAGGCCCATTCTCGGCCCCGATGGGCTCGTTCTCAGGCCTTAATCCTTGGTGTTTCTTCTTTCTTTTCTTTTTTTTTTGTTCTTTCCTTCTTTCCACTACGTTTTGTATTTGACAGTAAGTTGGAAACGCGGTCTTTTTTTACTTGAAATCACAATACAATTACACAAAAAATGGTCAAGAGTGCCAAGAAAACATTCTGCCCGAGTTTACTACTGCCAGAAGCTTGGCCACGAATAAACGTTCCACTGCCACCAAAAGATTTCACCCCCGTGTCGGTGGAGACGTCCACGGTTGACGAGCCTGGAAAAAAAATGCGTCACAAAGATCTGGTCTAAACAAGAGAAAGAAACTTACAATCGAAAGGACGCCATCCAATTCGCCCCCTCTCCAAATCATACACAACGAGCTTGTTCTTGAGAACTAAGTCTGTGAAAATGAGGTTGCAGTCATCGCCGAGGAGGAAAAGAAATACCTCCAAAGATGGTGTATTGAAGCTCGCTCTCGGCTGATCCCATCGATTGCCATCCCATGCACCAGATTGGAGCATTGGCCTGTTCCACAAATAAATTACACAATTAAGCAACGTAGACACAAGCTACATCATACCGCAGAAGCTTGTCTTATCAGATACTCCGCTGGTGTCAAAGTCATTGACGCGCCCTCGAAGTACAAAACCACGTTTGGAAACAGCTTATAGATGCTGCAAGTTTTCGAGCGAGTTCATCAGTTCTCCGGAATGATAAAAACTATTAGCTTGCCTGCCGCGAACAACGAAGCATACGTTCCCTGTTACCCCAATGGGCGGAGTAGCAGCGGCGTCGACAATCTTGACAGACGAGTGTCACAAAGTAGAAAAGGTGCTACCACAAGACTTACCGCTTGAGTAAACGCTTGGTACGCCTCATCAGGAAGATAGGCCAGTGTCGTGCCGCTGTCAAAGATTGTCCCTTGCATGACGTCGTTGGAGAAGAGCTTGGGATCGATAGTGAGGTTGGCGTTGTTGACGGATATGCTTTGTAGCACGACATTGTAATGGCTCCTGCAAATTGGTTCGTGAGAAATAACGTAGAGAAACTCTTACTGAGTAAAAACTACATGTATGGAACCAGCGGCGTGTACTGGATGTCCGGCTCAATCACATTACCGAGAACCAAGATGCCACCGCCTCTCTCTCCCCCGTCCAAGCAGTGAGCAAAAACGTTCGGCGTTTTTCCCTGCTTAGCGAGCTGTGAGTTGAAAGAAAGGTCGCTTGCTCCAAATCCAATAATGCCATCTAGTGCTCGCTCCGAAGTCGAAAGATCGCCAGATTGTTTGAAGCCACACCTACAACACCACCTCCCAGTAAGTGAAAGCGCCAGAATTGAGGCAAGAGATAAAGATCAAAACCCAAAGATTACTGTTGCAGTAGCGTTCACCATGTAATGCAAAACGTCTTCCACGAGGTATCCGAGGGTCCCGCTTCCATCTCCATACTGGAACGAATAGCCACACTGGTTTTGATCGTTGCAGCCGGACTCCGAGATTTGCGTTATCAAGGTGCAGCTCGGATCCGAGCAAGGAACTTTGGAGCTGCTTGCCGAGGCCTTGACGTCATACGGAACAATCGGGATCTACACAGAGCCTCATCAATCACAAGTTCACAAATACTCTCGTCTCACCTTGAGGTCACTGAAAGCAGGACATCCAATGCACGGATGACAATTAACCCAAAGGAGGTCACTCCCAGTGTCCACTTGAAGATTGTATGTCCTTGGAGGAGTTCCCAGCTGCACTTGAGTGAAGTAGAGGCTGCCAGAAATTATAGTTAGCAGTGGAAACATAAGAAAATCGTATGACAGTTATTACAGTTACTTACCCAGCAATATATGGATCTGCTACTCCTTCCACTGGCAACGAGACCGCGCTGGACTTAAGCTTGACCATGCGTCCCCGATCGTGAGCCTTGAGCAGCTGCATATGTTCGTGCGTGATGCCCGTTCCATTCGTGCTCTTATTTGAACCCGGCTTTGTTGAGTACCTGTGTGTCAACTCGAACACACCAGGCATGCTGTTGATACGTCGACTGAAGCCATCCACCGAGCACAGCAACAGGACGATCAAAACAGCCAACAAAGCCATTGCCGGCTCTGTTACCGAGTCATTTAATCCAATCCTCGATTCTTCTCCTGCGAGCGATCACTTTTGGGAGCCTGCTTGCTGTCGCAGAAAAACTTTTCAATGCCACGAAATAAATTTAGCAATACTACCTCGTTTAGATCCGCAGTCATGCAGAGACGAAGGGATGGCGTCGTCTGAACACGAAACTTATAATACCGGCCATTCATCTGAAACCATCTACCATCAACGGCTAAGAAACAGACACGCAAATGTTAAAACTTTCGAGCGAAAGAACATGGGAAGCCGATGAAACTGCATGCATGCAAGCGCCCGAGAAATATGAGAAACAAAATTGACGTATCTTTTTATCAATTTGAAGAAGAATCCTTCGGGATCGAGCCTCAGTCAGACCCATCATCGGGCAAGCTTTGTCCAAAAATGTCGGGACAGTTGCTCCAGTCGCCCTGTGACCTTGCTTCCCAGTACCCACCTATGTACTTAAAAGTGCTCGATCCAATGTCCTTGTGAAACCATCGAGGTTGCCAGCCTCTCTCCTGCAACTTCCTAGCCTGCTACCACGGACACAGAATGAGCATCCCTTGAAGATGCAAAAACCGTAACATACCCTCCGCTGCTTCCCTTCCAACCGCAGCTTTTCGGAATTAGCCTGCTCGTATTCACCGTTTTCCAAATGTCGTTGATCAGGTCTCAGTCGGGAATCTGTTGGTGGCAGCTTCTCCTGCACGCTTTTACCATGAGAACTTGAGCGAATAAATGCTTTGAAAGACCTCGAGTCCTGGTGTGAGCTCGTTGACCGTGATTGCAAAAGAGCTTAAGTTGTATCTGGTAGGATAATCCGAAGGCAGGTTACGGGCCCAAAGCAGTTCCGCTTCGCACATAGGATCATAACCTCGCGGCTTCGTCGCCAGGTCTCCGTTCACGTAATACATGCTCCCGTCCCATTTCCCAAAAAGCGTTGCCAGCTTCTTATTTGCTTTGTTATAGACAAAGCCATGAATCTGGAAAGAAAGGTTCAGCACTTAATCTTAAAACGAGAAATAGAATACCTGACCTGATGAGGATTACGATCAATTATAGACAGCTCCTTGAATTTAAGCTTGCAGGACATGTCGCGGTTTCCTTGAATGCGCATTGTGCCGTAGTGATCACAGTAAAGCTTTCCTAGTATGAGATTGTAAATTGATGTGGTCACCTGTCAAGTACGGTGTTAGACCAATCCAAATGCCGTTTGAACTACCTTAGACCATTGAAAAACTTCTCCGTCATCGAATTCCAGGGTTAAAATTCCTACGGGGTCCAGCTGGATTGAACGCCCCCAAAATTTACTCTTTAGATTGCTGTCGCCCCAGAGTTTCCATCCACGTCCCTCACAGTGACAGGCTACCACCATGGGATGGTGACTGACCTGTACAGACGAAGAAAATCAGCATCAAGTAGCAGAGAAAAAAAAACTGACTGGCTAACCTTCTCGGAGAAAAATTTGACTCCCTTATCAGGATAGTCTGCTTCATACGTTTCTCCTAGCAAAGGATTGAACGGCTTACATATTCGACCATCTGTGGATGCATACCCGGAAACCGCAAACGCTGCGACGTACAAAATTCTCAGAAGACTATTACCCTGCAAATAGAACTTTTAAGAAGAGAAAATCACAAGGAGGCGGGCTTACCATTTGGCCGCAAACGGCCGCTCTATCAAGAAGATAAGAGTATTCCAGGTCCTCGAAACACTTCTGCAACGAGGAAATTGGTTCGTTGAAATACACCGGGAGGCACACTTTCGTAAGGTCCTTCCCAATATTATCTTTGATAATGGACCAAAGGCTGAATCCCTTCTCCTTCTCCTTTGGATCCGGTAGCTTTTTGCGTCTGTTAACGATGGGATAGTCTTGGCTGAACAGCTCCATAGCTGGATCAGGAAGTACAGCTCTGGGGGTGCTGAGTACAGGCGAGTCTCCTCCATCTAAAGGATCAGCTGATAACTGACGGTGAAGAAACGATGGACTCCGAAATGAGCCTGAGAGAGATTCGGCTGTGTCGAAATATAAGTCGTCATCGTCATCAGTTTCCGCATCGAGCATTTTGCCGTTGTCTTCCTCCGAATCCGATTCACTGCCTACAATAACACAGAAGTATAAAACTTAAGCATGGTTGACATGCTGTTTTTCCATACCGTGATCTCTCTCCTGTGGCTGATCTTCATGACTCCGAGACTCCTCCACTACTGTTGTCTCTAGCTCTACCTTTTCAGCCTGGAAAAAGTAAGACAAAAAGCATAAGCACGATCTAGGGGATGAAAAGGAGTACCACCTCTAGCTGATTCAACCTGTTCATCAAAAACAGGTACCTCTGCTGAAGTGGCGTTACTTTCTCCCTAAACTCCGTCAAAATTATGTTCTCGCAGTCCTTGATGACTCCCTGGCTGACGCCCGCTTCGATTAGCCTTTTCCTTAATCCGTCCGTCGAGATGGAGTCTTCTTCGTGCGGTTGGAGGCAAATTATCTTCGGAAGAAGATCTTTTCCAGCCTGCAGTGCCTCTAGCCAAGTAGCTCTGTCGTCCCTTGATTCTGCTCGCAGATGCAACGAGTTTGTTCCGGTAAAGATGTAGAACTTCTTGTCATCGGATTTGCTCTTACGAATGGACGCCACCTGGCGGGAGAAAATGAAGAACAAGTCTATCGTGGAAAGAAGAAAGAAACACGTACCATTAGATGAACATCACCAGAAGTTTTTCTCGGTCTCTTCTCGTTCCAGTGCTTCCTGGGCTTTCTCATGAGTTTCTGTGCCTCGTCTCCAATCACACGCACACCTTTCTGGAGCTCCTGGTTGACGTAAAGCTTATCAGGTCCGTGAACCTTGTAGTACGAGAGAACACCATCGTGAAGTACGAACCATCGCGACCTCCACCGCTTCCCAAAGTTGACCCACTTGTGGAGAACTCCAGCCACGTTGGGATTCGCGGCGCTGCTCCTCCCCTCGATCATCTCGTTCACTTCCACGCTCACGGATGGAGCTCGGGATGGGGCTCTCGAGAGCTCGCCCGATGGAGGTAGCTTTAGATGCTTGAGCTCCCCTGAATGAGCTACAAGAGGCGACTGCTCGGAGAATTTCGATGACGAGGAGCTGCTGGGATCCGTGAGAATCGGCAGCGGCGGCTTGAATTGCGTGCCATTGACTCTGGATGGAGTACCTTGTCCATGCCCGGGCATCGGCTTCGCCATTGAGCAGGCCGCCTTCTTCTCCGCGGGGGCGACGCAGCACGAGATCATCAATCACGCACGGAATTTCCAGCACCGAAATCTGCACCACAACGCAATCCACATTGAGCAAGGAATCCGGATTCCTCGCCCGACTTACCTCCGGGAGAGCGATCCCGCTCCAAGAACCCTAGAATTCCCCTGGCGCAATTCACAGGCGGCGATCCACGCCGCGGCGCCACGGAATTCCTGGCGATCATCTGCCGCCGGCTAGCGCAGATCCATCGCTCAGATCCATGCTTGGACGCGCGTCGGCGTCGGCTCGGCAACGACCCTTGCGCTTCCCAACAACACGGACTCACGAGCGAGCACTGCTTAATACGTCCTAAAAACGTGGTTCAATCGCCCACCGTCGGCTACGCCCAGAGCCAGCGGCCCAGATGTGAGCGGAATCTAAAGGGTCATCGACGGTGGAACTTATGCGAATATCCTCTCTTCTAAAAGCGAATATCTTCCAATCCAGCCTTGGAACATCATAGTTTATCGAATTGTTTGTATTCTTCGAGAAGGTACAAACTATAGTCATAATACGACTCCATTCGAGAACAAAACATCACAAGCTCAGTGTTCCTAGAGAGCTCAAAAGAGTGAGCAAAATTGCAAAGAAAGATCAAAGAAAAAACTTACATGTTGATAGTGATGAAGGAACTCTACTTCTGTGCCAATCGTTCTTCCCGGCGAGCGATCTTCCTCTCCCGCGTCGCCTTGTTCTTGGCGCGCCTGGCCTCGAATTGATCAGTGAGAGTCTTCTCGCGAGCTTTCTCGGCCTTGAACTTGTGAATGTTCTCCATGAGGACGCGCTTATTCTTGAAAACGTTACCCTTGACCTTCATGTACATGCTGTGGTACATATGCTTGTCTATCTTCTTAGCGTCGCGGTACTTGCGAAGGAGACGGCGAAGAACACGCATCCTCCGGAGCCAGACGATCTTGGATGGAAGCCGGGCTTCGCGAGTACCGTGTCTCTTACCTGAAAACCAGCGTCAGTCAAGAGAAAATCCAGAGAAAAGTTGGATAAAACGAGAAATAATCAAGAGGATCAAAGAAGTGGAAAAAGAAAAACCAGATCAACTAAGAACCCAGCAATCGATCAGAGTGACAAAACTAAGAATAAATCAACGAAGACAAGAATACAAAATCCAGATCAACTAAGAACCCGAGAAAAACCAAGGCCAGCAATCGATCAGAGTGATAACCAATCAAAACATCCAAGAAGTCAAAAGAAACAACCAAGAATCAATCAAACAAGAACTCAAACATAAAAAAACAAAGAACAAATTCGATGAAGGAAAATTAGATTAGATCGAACAAATCCAGTACGAGCTAAAAGAACCCACCTTTGCCGGAGTGGCGACCCTTCCTCTTGGCCTCCAGCTCGCGGCGAGCGCGAGCGCGAGAGTGAATCTTCTGGGGCTTCTTGATTATGAGCCCATCCTTGACGAGCTTCCGGATATTCTGCCCTGCGAGACACAGAAATTTCCAGCGTGAGGAGACGAGATCTAGAAATGGGGTACCGCAAACTTACTGGAATTCGCCATGGAGATCTCGTTGACTTCATTGGGATCGAGCCACACCTTCTTCTGCCCGCACTTGAGAACCGAGGCCGCCAGCCGCTTCTGGAGCGTAAGCGCCACCATCGCGCTCCTCCTCTCAAAACCCTAGCCGCCCTCCTAGAACCCTAATTGTCTTAACTTGCTTACTTTTTTTAGAACTTCAAATCTCAGCCGTCCATTCTAGGTCATCTTGGAATTACAATTGTCCAAACGAGCTCACAATAGTTTTCACTCGATCGCGAAACATTGGCGACGCAATTCTCTTGCCTGGAACGTGGAATGGATTTGAAGTTACGTCAATGTACGCAGCGTGAAATCGCTGGAAAAACTGGAAAAAACTGTAAAAATCTGGAAGCAAAATCGAAGCTTACAGTCTTGATGTCGAGATCTTTGAGCTCCAAATCCGAGGTAACAAGCACGAATTTGACTCTTGTGTTCGTCATGTAGCCATAGCTGCGAGTGATCCAAGGTCGAGTGAAAAAAGGAATTGACAAAAAGGGGGAAGAACTCACACTTTGTAGTCCTCGGCTGGATACAAGAGTCCCAAGAAATTGTCATTGAGATTCGTGCCAGTTCTTCGCAAAATACTCGCTGGAGAGAAAGTTCTTGAAGAAAGATCTAGAAAGGAAAGAAGAAATGAAGAACCAGACCTTTTTCATCGAAGACGTCCAGCGAGCAGTGGACAATGTAGTGGAATTTGAGCACATCGTCTCCTCCCGCGAAGCTTTGGAGGTAGAGCGGATTGTTCTATCGATCCAGAAGGTGAATTCCACTCACATTTTCAAGGATCACGCATACCTGCTGCCCCACAATCGCCACGCACAGGATCATCGCAAGAAGAACTAGGGTTCTTCCCTAAAACCCTAGGCGTGGAGAATTTGATGCGGAGAAAGAGAGCGCGACCGAGGAATGCGCTTGCTCTCTTACGCGGATGACTGCGACTCCGACGAAGGTGAGTCGGATCTAGAGGGCGGGCGGAGGAGAAGATCTCTCACCGGCCGGGGCGCGATGCTGCGCTACTTGAGCCGCAAGATCCACAGGTATTTCAAGCCGGATCCGTCGAGATTGCTGGGGATTTTCCTGCTGCTGGGCTCGATCTTGCTGCTGATGGTGTATCTAGGGGAGAATGGAGGCATCCTGCTGCCTTATTCTCGCGATCCAGCGATGGAAAACCATCCATTTGCTGGATTGACGAGCCTAGTGATGGTCGCTGGGCATGCTGTCTACACGAGTAGGATTTGTGCCAAGGCAAACGAGGAGAGCTCTTGGTTCTTGGAGCCTTATCAGAGAAACTCTGGACAGGCTGCTACGTTTCTAGAGCACATCCATCGAGGTGTGGAGGCGGCGTCTAGAGACAATCAATCGTTACTTCTTTTCAGCGGAGGAGAGACGAGGAAAGAAGCTGGGCCTAGGAGTGAAGCTCAGAGCTACTGGAGTGTGGCGGACGCGAATGACTGGTTCGGTATGTTCCATCTTTTTCTCGCTGGTTGATTAGCTATGGTCCATTGTTCTTAGATTTTTCTTTTCTTTTCGCAGGACATTCTTCCAGCGTTCGTGATCGAGCAGTCACAGAAGAATACGCAAGGGATAGTTTCGAGAATTTGCTCTTCAGCATTTGCCGGTTTAGAGAACTCACTGGACAGTATCCACAAAATATAACTGTAAGTAAGAGCTCCTTTTTGGACGTGATTGTTTTTATATCTCTTGTGTTCCAGGTTGTGAGCTACCATTTCAAGCAGCACAGATTCGTGGCCCTGCATCGTGCAGCTTTGAAGTTCCCTCGTGAGAGATTTGCATACCTCGGAACGCTTCCAGCGATTTCTACAGCGGCCGCGGCTGCGAGAGGAGAGCTTTTTGTACAAGAACAGTTTAGGAAAGACCCGTATGGATGCATTGGACAACTTCGTAAGAAGCGGATCAAGCGCGATCCTTTTGCGAGGCTCATCCCGTATCCAGCAGGTTGTCCCGAGATTGCCGACTTGTTCACGTACTGCGGCAGCAGCGTGATATCCCGGAGGCTACCATGGAACTAGAAAGAAAAATGGTAAGCTTTTACTTCATCTCTAGCAGCTTGCAAAGAGTTTGTTAAGTGCATAGTCAAGTGCTCACCACTTCTACTGCAGAAACTCGTAATTCAAGAACAAGAGACCAAGATGTAAGATTTCTATTCGAGTAGCCAAGTGTTCTCACATTTTAACCTTGTACTGCAGGATGCATTGAAGAACTTGAGAAAAAAGAAAGGTGCGATTTTTCTTTTGGATAAGTAGTCCTCCGGGTTTCTCACAGCTTTTACTACCGCTACTGCAGAGAATTGCCACTTCCCTCGAGAAACTCCCACGTATGGGATGATTACATCACTCCTCAGTTCAGCTCCAGACAAGGTTCGCTCTCCCCTGCGCAAAACACATCAATCAGTTAAGAGATTTTGCCAGCGAAGTACTATCACGACGGCAGATCCATCTTTCGAACGGAAGGAAAAGCTCATCCTTTTCGAGGAAGGAAGAAACAAGGGTCCATCAATCGTCCAGCCAGCAAACATGGCTAAACAGGAAGGACAGGCAAAACAGGAAGGAGAAGCCTCCATTCTTTCTAGCAGAGGTTTCGCTCGCTCGCGCAAAGCTAAACGTGGACAACTTGAAGACGATGGTGGTAACATATCACACACACAAACCACGATTAGAGAAGCTTACAAACGATGCTAATCGCGAGAAGCTTATATTGGAATCCAATCGCGAAAGCGCGTGGTTCGCCCCAATGCGCGCATGGTTTTGTTTTGTTTGCCCATTGCTCCGGCTGTGCGCACGGTTTGACCGCGCAATTTCCTGGGAATAGTTTAGACCCGTGGAATCGAGCCCGTGATCTCCTCGTGGTTTAGTTTAGGGCGTGAGCCAAGTTTAAAATCTCTCTCTCTCTTGTGTATCGCATTGTCGTCGTCGTCTTGCGCGAGCGAACTACTACTATCTCTTTCTTCTCATAAATCGCGCCCTTGCAAGCGCGCTCCTTCGCGTTTTGTTTCGTTGCTAGCTACGATCACTGGCCAGGGCAGCAGGCATGTGGAATTCAATGGAGCGCAAACAATCCCTCCAGTGGAGCGCGTAGCAGCCAGCATTGTCCCATTCGGATCATCGCGCGCTCGATCTACTTTCGAAATTCTCTCCTCTCTCTCTCTCTCTCTCTCTCTCTCTCCCAGGGCGAAATTTCGAAATATTTCGGGGTTTGATCGATCGCCAGGGCGGCAGCGGCAGCGGCGATGCCGGGGCCATGGCTTTCTTGGACAAGAACGCTCTCGTGCAAATCCGACACCAAGGATGTGGTCTACGATCCCAAGCACCAGCGGCATTCTTCCAGGATCCAGCCAGCGCTGGCGTCGCCGGTGGTCAATCCAGTTCCATTCCACGCCAAGGGCAAGAACCCCGGTACCAAATCTTCCGCGCAGCCTCAGCATTCCTCGTCCCTGATCAGTCGATCGTCGTGCAACTGCTCCAATCTCAAGGACATCGTGCACGGCAACACGAGGGTGATCCACAGGGCGTCGTCGTCGGGGAGTCCACAATCGATCAAAGACTCGGCGGATTTTCTCAACGAGGTCTCGCAAGATGCCCTGTTCTTGGAAGATCACGATAATCACCACTGCAACAGCGCGTCCCCTTGCGGCGATGCCCCTTTGCTGCTACCATCCTCCACGTCCTCGTCATCGAGCTCGAGCTCCGGCAACCATCGCCAGGTGCTCGTGGTGTCGCGCAAGAGATTTGGGGGCTCTTGCAATGGCTGCAATGTGCTCGACACCATGGATTCCATGGTGGCGTCGTGCAAGGATTCGTTGTCCGTGGCCTCCGCGGCGAGCATGATCGCTAGGAATTGCAATCTCCCGCATATCAGCTGCCAGAAATGCGGGGATTGCTTCACCAAGATCGATGCTCTCGAGCACCATCACACCATCCAGCACGCAGGTATCTATAATCCTGGCTCTCTTCCTCTTCTCTTTTCCATTTCGATCTCTTCCTCTCTTTGATCGACTCGATATTCTCGCGATATCTTTACTTCTCCCGCGATCGATGTGTTCTTGATCGTCGCAAAATATTCTCTCTTTGATCGACCGTTTCCATGATCATTCTAATTCTTTGTGTTGTGTTCTTCAGTGTCGGAGCTGGGGCGCGGCGATTCCTCGCGCAACATCATCGAGATCATCTTCCGCAGCAGCTGGATCTCGAGCAACAGCTCCATCGGCCGCATCGAGCGCGTGCTCAAGGTCCACAACTCCCAGCGCACGCTCGCGCGATTCGAGGACTACCGCGACAGCGTGAAGCTCCGCGCCAATTGCATGGCCCGCAAGAACGCGCGCTGCATCGCCGACGGCAACGAGCTCTTGCGCTTCTACGGATCCAGCGTCGCGTGCCCGCTGGGAGCGCACGGATCCAGCAGCGTCTGCAGCCTCGCGCACTGTTCCATCTGCCGGATCATCCGCTCGGGCTTCGTCTCCAAGAACACCAAGGGGATTTGCACGACCGCCACGAGCAGTAGCGCTCATGTGGAGGAGAGCTTCGGTGGCAATGCGGGCAAGAGGGCGATGGTCGTGTGCCGGGTGATCGCCGGGAGGAGCTACCGGACGTCTTGCTCGACGAACGGCATAGGGGAGATCTCGGGCTGCCCCAACGGCTACGATTCGGTGGTGGGCGGGATTGGATCCGACGGTGGGAGCTTGGTGGTGTTTAATCCCAGGGCTGTGCTTCCTTGCTTTGTTGTAATTTACAAGTGTGGTTAAGTTTTTCTTTTCTTTTTCCCGTTGTAAGAGACTATTATCATTATCGAAATATAATTATTAAAGTTATTATAAAAATGTTATTATTGAGTGAAAATGAATTATCTCTTTTAATCTTTCTGGAGGTGTATATGCCTATGATTGAAGTGGATCCAAATCATGGACTCCAGATTTTTGCTAACTGGCCATCTCTTCTCTTTGGCTTCTTGGGTTAATATATGGTTCATAATGACAGGAGTTGAAGAAGCTGGGTCAAAGAACAATTAGGGGGTGTTGTTCCCTTGTCACAAGATCTCATAAACAAGCTGTTTGTCTATGATTTTTTGTCAATGCAGCAATAAGAGAAATAAGTGGGAACTAAGTCAATGGGAGCTCCTGTTCATGCAGCAGGAGAAATAAGTGGGAACCAAGTCAATGGGAGCAACTGTTCATGTGTTGAAACTGGCTGGCACATGAAAATAGTGAACCAGAATCATGGTGTTGTCTAAAGTGATTTGTTTTTTTCTGTTGCTAGAGCATAACCATGTTCATTGTTTGAAACCAAATATGCCATTTGGCAACAATGAGAGAAAAAAGTAGATTCTCCTCTTCATGATGTAAATCTTCTAGAATCAATGCATCATCACTTCTGGTAACAGCAAAGGCTCAAAACGAAAAGAGAATCAACCCATCATCAGTTAGTAGCAAAGCTGTGTTTGTCTTGACAATGATAGACAGGTAGCTGACTCTTTCTCCGTGCTTATTTGCATTGTGTGTTCTTTCTCTTCTTGATGGACATGATCTTGTTTTTGGATGATATTCTTACTGTGCTAGTGGAATTAAATGTTGAGCCATGTGCAAATTTCTTCAAATCCACTGCTGGAATCCTGGCAAGATTTAAACGCCACAGATGGGATGGAGTCCTCCCTTGAGCTTGGCCCAATTTAATCCCCACTTCAATGATCCTGAACTTCTATTCATTCCCTCGCTTCAAAAACACGTTAAGTGGCCATCTTGTTCGTCTGACGTCTGTCTGGGCTCCTCACTGCACTGCAGCCATTTCGCTGTCGAGAAAAAGTTTCAGCTGGCTCTGCCTGTGCTTGAGCTTGCCACCACCACCACTTGTCAACCCCCTTCAATTCCATCCAAGCTGAAAACGGGCCTTCTTCCTGTCCGAACCTTTCACTTTGTCCATACCTTGAACGGTGTGTTTAAACGGCTTTTACTCGCAGCAGCACGCAGCCAGGCAGCCCAGGCAACAGGCATCTACAGAGCCAAGCGAGAAGATGCACAAATCCAAAGCCAGTAAATATCCACAAAAAAAAGAGCGAAAAAGAAGGAAAAGAGATAGCAAGGCCAAGAACAAAACCAGCTCAGGTGTGGACATCAGAAACAAGCTGGAAGCAAGCAGCCAAAATGATTGTTATATCGACATCAATGGTTTTGAGTCAGGGGAGTCAGGCAGCCAGCCAAAGCAGCTAAACAGTTACGTCCAAAGTAAAGGAGCGCTGCTGCGCTTTGCAGCAGCACTGCACATTGACGCACTCAATTTCCAGGGCCAGCACTTTAAGCAACACATTACACGTCCCTAGTACAAGACTGACCAGGATAGCCGAGCTCAAACAAACACACAAGCTCTGGGAAAGCTTACAGCGACATCCTTAAGCATGCATACGAACAAACTGGAACCAGTAAAACGGCCGTGCAGAGAGCCTGAGAGATGCTGGTACCATGAAAAGTGGAAAGGAAGAAAAAGGCAGAGACTTGGAAGAAGAAGGACGCGCGGAAAACCAAAAGTCATCCGGCGGTACCGTCAGTCAAGATGCTGGTGGTGTTTGAACAGCTGCCTAGCTACTAGGTCATGAGTTTCTAGGATGCCGAGGACCGCAAAATAGCATGAAGAAGCCCCCTACCTCCTAGTTGCTGAATCTAGAACACGTCTACTATGTACAGCATAGAATCGACAAGACAGACACGGAAGAGACTCGAGAAGAAATGAAAAAAGAACAAGAGAAAAGAAAGAGAGAATGAGGGCAGTAAAAAGTTACATACTTCGATCGATGCTGTACACCTGTATCGTACAGTCTTCAGACGCTGTCGCAACGCTAGCAGCCATGCCGTGCCTTCTTCCAACACCAATGCTGGTGACTGCCTCCGAATGATTGCGTAGATTTTGAAAAGTGGCAGCGTCATTGTCCCAGGACCAGAAAAGCAGCTCACCGCTGAAGCTACACCAACCACGACAAATCAGACAGATATTGAATGACAACTTCTCACCTTCCAGCAAGAGCCACGTCTCCTATAACTTCACACGATCTTAAAGGAGTCTCGCAGTTCTTCTGGGATAGTATGGAGCCTCCCCGCCTCAGCTGAAAATTCGAACGGATAAGTTCTTAGATGGCCCACCCAGCCGCTTACCTCCATTGCGTAGATAAAACCAGATGTTGAGACAACAATTAACTTGTGGCCGTCACCAGACATACGCATCGAAGACGCAGAGCCAGCTAAGTCGTTTGATGTCCATATCGGAATGCCGTTGCTTCTTATGTCCCAAAGAATCACAGTCCCTGATGGATACCAAGTTCTACAAACTGCCAAGAACGTAAAGAAACATACCATCCTCAGCACCGGACGCTACAACAACTCCTGTGGAATCCACATCCAAGCTCCAAATGCCAGCTTCGTGTTCGGTTAGTTCAATCTCCGCTACAACAATAGTTAGAAAATCGAACGCTTGCTTGGAGCTTACTAGCAAATTACTTACGTGTGTTGGATGCTCCGGAATTATGTACCCATCCACCTCTCCCTTCATCCAGCGTCCATACTTTCACTGTTGCATCCCACGAGCCCGTGACCATTTTCGAGTTACTCACCCGAAGGCAAGACACGGAATCATCGTGGACGCGGACCTATACCGGTTTTACAGCTAAAACCAGAAAACATTCACGGCTCGCTTACCTTGCCTAAAGACCTCCCATAGTCTACAGAATAAGCATAGACACAATTGTCATAAGAGCCAGCAAGTACAGTCTGCAGGAGCGAGATGAATTTGAGACAAAGAGAAACTTGCACACTTACAGGATAAGCATCGTTGCTTGTAGCTAAAGCAAGAGAAGAAATCGGTAGATTTCCAAGCTTTGTGGCACGAACTTGAAAGCCTTCAGAGAGGGAATACACCTGTAGAAAGGTTCTTTCAACAGTACAAACGGTCATCTTGACAACACTCAAGTACCTTGATCAGTCCATCTTTTGAAGCCGAATAAAGAGTGCTAGACTCCGAGGCGTTGTCATCGGAAACGAGGACGGCATTGATAGGCTCGCGATGAACCTTCCATGGCTGTTGTGAGTCGGTTAGTTTTTTAAGCGTCCAAGGTTGCTCACGACACTCCATCCGTGGAGACAGCATAAAGTTTGGACTTTTACTCCGTCGAAACAGGTTTGCGTCTAGCTGAGGTGTGTGTGGCGTTGGCAACCATGCAGGCGTCCTTGGTGTGCTAGACCATGCCGACTGATGGAAAGTGCTTGCCTCCGCCTCTCGTTTAAACTCGATTTTTGCCGATAGAATGTCATCTTCTTCTGTGTCTGAGCCCGAGTCTTGCTTCACTGACTCTGGGATGCCAACAGAAATTGTGTGCGACAATGCCGCTTCATCTACTCGCATTTCTTCCGTAGTACCAGCCTCGAAAGCTGCCGTCTTGGACATAATTCGAGACAATATCGCAGCACACAGGCTACCCGTGCCACTCTCGACCATAGCTTGCCTGTGCTCCTCAAAGTCCGCGGAGGTTTCTACTGCAGATCGAGATGGATGAGGACCGGTGAAGAGTTGCTGTGGTGCTTGACCGAATTCATTTATCTGGTCAAATCACTGTTATCCACGTTCACAACTATATGAAGTACCTGGGCTTCAAAGCTCATGCGTTCAAAAGGATCTTCTATTTTATCCAGATCCACAGCCCCCTCATAAGTAAGATAATGGAACACATTATCTGCTGCAAGTGCTGCCTGCAAACATGAAGCTTACCACTAGAAGAACCACTTAGTTCTTACCTCGCCTCGTTGTTTATATCCAAAAATCAAGTCAATCCATTCTTGAATGTTCATCGAGACGTGCTTGCATTCCAATGCTCTTCGGTTTTTAATTAGGAAGTCATCAGGATCTTTTGCCCTACAACGCACAAAGAATAAAACAATCTCAAATCACAAGTCTTGTAATTACCATGGAGGCAATGTGACGTCCCCAACAGGTACACCATTTTGACGAACACCGAGGTTTACGTCATTCCTGTTCATACGAACTACAGAAGATTTACAAGTGAGGCTATAACGAGATTACCTTGTAACCAGAAAGCCGGACGGTAGCCCGTAAAACTCTGGAATTAGTTCCTTCACATCGGCGTGATTTGTCAATACGCTCTGCCATGACTCTGCAATGCTAAAGAAAAGTCTATCTGGTGTATCAAAGCGTCCATTCTGCAAGGAAAAAGGAGTTAAGACCTGTAGAATTCAGAAATGCTTGGCTACTTGGAGACGTAGCATATGAGCCGGGGCCACACGGACCAGCCAATATAGAACATAGCTGACACAAGACGTAAAGGTGAGACAAGCACAAGTAACAACTGACAGCTTACCCAGGTGCAGAGTAGTGTGTTCCATAGAGGAACGGTGGATGTGAGCCATCCTTACATGGCATCTAAACAATAAAACTGAGGCGCAATTCAAACACAAACTTCCCTACCTGTTGGAATCGCTCATGAAAAATAGCCAACCTTGAAGGATTTAAAGCTCCAATAGGCTGCAAGAAAAACCATGAAAACATAGTTCCAACAGAAAATTTAAAATTTAAAATGAAAGCACCATTACCTTGCTGAGATCACGAAAGGACGCGGGATCTTTGAGGTTTAAGGTGGTGCTTTCGTAATCTTTTAACACCCAGGGCATTACTGGCCATTGTGCTAGATCACAACGCGTCCTTCCCGCAAACAAGTTGAGGTACATCAAGTAGTCGTAATTAGAGATATGTCCTGCCTACAAAATCTGTTAACTGAAAACACCCTTACAGAAATCTAGCTTACCTGCCATGCTGCTGTGACGCGATCAAGCCATGAACTGCCTTTATCCAAAAGTGAACCGATGCTGGATGTTTGGCCCTGGTCGATGGTGAGCCTGGTCAGAATGGCAAATGAGAACATGGGACGTGGAGATGGAACTAGATGCCGAACATCACTGTGAGGGAGGGAGAACAGTTTAAAAAATTACCTTTAGCTTGTCAACAAGCAGGTCTCTTGCATCATCTCGATCTTGAACACTTAGAAACGTGAAAAAAGCTGTGCCACCGTCGACAAATCCTCCTACTGATGTTTGTCTTGTAAACATGTTCACATCCTTGAAAAATATTTCCAGTCCAATGTGTTGCAAAGAATGACGCCGTTTTGCAACTGCAATTATAAAGCTCAACTTCTGAGAGCGTACTGGTGTATCGTTGTTTAAGTTGTGTAAAGGCTGGTGTAAACAAGACCCCTATGAGCGAGACAAATAAATAAGAAGAAAAACAAACCTGAAAGTATAACCGGTTTGGTGTAAACACCAGACGACCTGGCTCTCTCACTAAAGGAGTTACCTGTAGCCAAAATTCCAGATTTTTGTTGAGACGTTGGGAATTGTAAGCTTGCCTGTGCTGCGGGAAAGTTGAAAAGAATCTCCTCGCTATAATCCTCCAAGCGACTGATATCAAAATGAGCTTGCGCTTCCTTCTGAGCAGCAGTGTTGCGCAAAATCATATCTCTTTCAGGAGGTGGAAGTGAATTCACAGACAAGAGCGATTGCGCTTGGTGAAGAAACTGTGAGCGCAATAAAATTCTTGTAAGCCGCAGAAAAAAACCATGAATTATACCTGCTGGACTGGAGCAAAATCCAGGATAAACCACCATGTCCCTTCCGACTTGTCAAACTCATAAGCAGCATCGACCCCATTCTTCTTCATCGTCACGAGCAGTGAAACTTCCACCATAAATCCCCTGTTACCTTTCATTTCCAGCTCCGGCCTATCCGCCAATTGCTCGATCCTACTCACCTTGTTGAGTGGAAGCATCAAAATCGGGATGGAGGCGGCATCTGGCTCAAAGAAGATCGATTTAGAGCAGAGGCGGAGGCGGCCCTTGATCCAATTCTGCTGCCAGGACGACGAGTGCAGCCGCAACCGGGGCGCGCTGGGCGGCTTGCACGTCGCGATCCAGTCCTGGATGTAGTGCTCACCGTCTTGCAGCAACAGGTAGGAAAAGCGCCTGGCAGCTCGGGCGGATCCATCGGACCACATCGTCGCATGATGGAGCAGGAGAAGTGCGCAACCGCCCTAAAATATTCTAGAGAGAGAACATAAGCCCTAATCTCGGTGCTCTGTTTCGTCAAATTGACAAAAGAGAGAGAGCAAGACAAGGAGCTTCCAACGAGATTTGAACTCGTGACCTTTCGCTTACTAAGCGAGCGCACTACCACTGTGCTATGGAAGCCCGGGCGTGACACAACCCTACATTGCCGCGCAGCACTTTTATTCATCTCATTTAAGCTGAATTGATCGCCAACGCGCGTGAATCGCCACAGCCTACACAAGAATTCAATCTCTCGCATAGCGCATTCTCCAAAATCATGGAAGATCCTGGGCAGCCTTGGAGCTCCTCTGCCCTTAAAATATTGGGTCCTCTGTTTTCTAGGGCTAGGGTTTAGGCTCTTTCATGGCGGGGGCGAGCGCGTCGTGGAGAGCCAAATCGCTCCCCAATCCCAAATCCGATGGAATTCCTGGCATCCTCACGATGGTTTGCTTGCGTGCATTGAGATTTTGGCGATGGATTCTCACGTGGATGGGCACTACAGACTCCCAGTGGCTTCAAATGGACTCCCAACATTCCAAATGCTGCGAAGGCGTTGAATGTCGATTGCAGGTCCCTCAGAGGTAACGAAAACTTGAGATTTTTTTTCCTAGCTTTGTTCTTCGCTTTGTCTTTCAGGCCAACGAGCTAGCAAAGAAGCTACATCCAAGAAGGCTATACTAAACTTGCTAACGGACTCCACAGCGGTGAGTGTCTGTAAGTTTGCTTTTGCTCGTATCAATCGCGGAGTTTTTTCTTCTTTACACGCAGGTCCAATACTTTTTTGAGTTTGAGAACTTCGTTGACAGGGATGCTTCTCGCAATTTCCTTGGTACTCGTGCGTTTCTTCTTCCTTCACAAAGCTGATGGTTTTCTCCTCCTTTTCTTTTTTTCTAGCACCGTTTCTTGCAAATGCTGCAACTCCGATTGCTAACAACGAGCTGGCAGCTAACCAGGCTTCTACATCGGCACGTCCTCCGGGACAAAACGAAAGCCTCAATCAGACTGAAATGGAGCGGCGAATAAAACTTTTGCAAGGAGACAGGCAGGCTCTCTTCCTTCGCTGCTTTTGCTTTAAAGCTGCTTTACGCGTGTGCCAGTGAGCTGCAAAGGCTTCATCAAAACCTCGTCATGAACCAGATTCTTTCCGAGCATGATTTCTGGGCTTCCAGAAAGGTACTTCAGAGTTTTTCTCGTAGATTAATCAATAATTCAGCTTCTATCTGTGGAGTGCAGAAGACGGGAGATAATCACAAAATGAGGACTGGGATGGCAAGCACAATGCTTGCTGATATCCGTCCGATGGCCGATGGCCGGGTATGGGCTCTTTCTGAAGTTTAATGTGTTTCCAAAGCATCACATTCTTTCCTTCAGACGAACACGGTGACGTTTAACATCACGCCAGAGATCATTCATCAGGTTTGATAACTCCTTTATTATCCTCTCGTGATGAAGTTCTTATTTTCTGACTCAGATATTTGCGGAAAAGCCGGCTGTACATCGAGCTTTTCTGAACTTTGTACCATCAAAGGTACGGATGCTATGCAATAGAACGCTGACAGATTTTTTTGTGGTACCAATTGTAGATGACCGAAATAGCCTTCTGGACAAAGTACTGTAGGAACGATTATCTCCATCGGACTAAGAATGCCGCCGCAGCAACGGCTGAAGCACAAGATGACGAGGAGCTAGCAGTATTTGTGAACGACGATGACATTATTGCCAAAGAGTATCGCCGGAAAGTAAGCCGTCATTCTGAAACGATTATTTACTGACAGCGAAACAGATAAAACGAGTGGATCCAACTTTAGACATCGCTGCAGACAATGCAGATTCTTCTCTGCCGGTAGGCCCACGATATGATGCTCATGCTGAACTTCTCTAACGATGATTGGGTAGGGACATGGAATTTACAGAGACAGAGCTAAGGATCCCATCGATGGCAACATGAGGAACAAACTAATGCGCGATATTAACAGGCACGGGGAAGTTGTGCTAGAAGGTCGACTCCTCGGTATGATGATCACAGCTCGTTTCATTATGATGATGACCGTGTGACTGTTGTTTCTAGAGGAAAACAGGAACGATGCAATGAGCATTGCTCAGGCTTTGGCAAAAGTCCAGCAACAAGGTTGCGTTTGGTTCGAGCTCGTAGAAGGTTGAAGCTGAGATTTTTGTGGCAGATACGAGGGTGGAGGAAAACGATCGTAGAGCTAGAGCTATGACCGAGCTTGAAGATTTACAAGGCCCTCGAGGACTTCCGTCCGTTCCTCTTTCCATACAGGCATGCAATCAATAGCCAGGAAGATTTCCCTGAGTGATTTTTCTTCCTTTTGGTGAACACAGGATCCTCGCAAGTATTTCGATGTACAAGCCAATACCAACATTGGAGCGAGTAGTTCTTCAACGCTACATCCCAACGAGATCTTGCAGCGTTTGAGGCAGCAGATAGAAGAGTTCGAACACCAGGACGAGACAGCTCCTATAATTCCTGGATCTCTCGCTTTCAAGGTTTGGCATTTCGCTCACCTCCATTCACTCCTCTCTTTCCAACAGGTTTTAACCGAACTCACGCAACAAGTCTCTAGTACGCATCATTCTCTCGGAAGAACTGCCGAGAAGAATGTCCTTGACAGTCTACCACGCTCCGTGAGGGAAGCTTTACTTCAGGTAAGCTTTGTAGTTTTGCTGGCCTACTTAAGTTCTGGATATGTAGCACTCGTCATTCATCAACGAAGTTCTTCGACAGTTTTGGGCGACCTGTCCAATCACTTCAAACGCTCTTCTACAAAAGGTATAAACAAGTTCGCAAAATGGGTTTGCAAGTCTCAGCTGTGCTCGTTTAGGCAAATCGTCTCAAGGATTGCATGGCTAAAGTCTACAACGAAATACAGGTAAATCTCGTCGAGTTCCTCTTTGTGTAAAAACGAAATTTTTTTGACAGGCTTTGAAAAGCTCGGTGCAATCGGAGCATCGCCACCAAGTCTCGCTCATACTGCAGCCGATGTTTCAGGTACCGGGCCATTAAATCTCACTAGACTCCCAATTTTGTTTCTTACCTATGCTTTTCAGACGCTCGATGCAGCTCTTGTGCACTACGAAGCTGAGATAGAAAAGCGGAGTGCCAAGAAACTTGGAAATGGTGGACCTTCCGAGCACGTCAATGGAATGTTGGCCGTCAAGTGAAGGTATGAGCTCCAATTTTGTAGAGAAGTTAAGTTACACGGCCGTGAGAATCGAAGTAAGTAAATCACTCGCCGCTTGTCATTCACTGGGTGAAACATCTGGAAACAAATCCTTGGAAGTCTTACAAGTTAGTTTTGTTACAAGACTGGCTAATCTCTTGACTAGAAACTATTCCGGACCATTTTGCAACATACCCGTGTGTGAGCACTGCTTGTTTGGAGTCACCGAGGAGGAGGCCGTGGTAGTCCTGGCGGTACGCTCGGCGGGAAGCCTGTTGCTGGCCGTGGCGCTGGTCCTACCTGAGGCTTTGGCTTGAAATACAACTGAAGCTGGCAAAAAAACGTTTCACACTTGTGAGAACGGGAAGCAAAAACTGAAGGATGAAAACTCACCGTGAACTGCTTGGAGTCTTGATCCCAATGAAAGAAAAACTTGTCATTGGCCGACTTATCAATCTCCGTGCTCGGAATCTATGAACAGAAGAAGCGAAAGTAAGTTTCGTAACGAAACGATGTGGATTCATTACCTTGAAGGCGATAATCTCGTAAGGCTCGGCCGCGAAGAGGAGATACTGCCACTCCTTTTCGTTCGGTTCCAGCTTCTGCTCAAACGAGGACATCAAACGGTACCGTGGCTTGGCATTGTCCTCGATCTCCGGATAAGCAATCTATAAGACAAGAACACGAAGTTTCAGCTAAGAATCGTGTCTAGCAAAGTGAAAATCCACCTGAAAGAGTAGGGAGCGTTGTTGCGTCTCTGCGTCGTATTGTTTCGTGACTTTGTAACCGGGCCGGCCAATCTTAACTGGAGGAGACACAACACAACACTTAGAAAAATCCAAAGAGATGGTCTTTTCCCCCATACCTGTCTTGCGTGGGTTGAGCTTTCTCTTGAGTGGCTGTGGCTGAATAGGCTGATCTTTGGCATCCCGAGCCGCGCGCTTGGCCAAATTCGTCTGGTGGCGCTTGCCTTGCGTGTGTGCCAAGTAGTTTCCCTCATTGTTGTGCAGCGTCAAGCAAAGCTTACACTCGTAGCTGCCAAAACCAAAGGAATTTCAATGCCATCACTCGCCCAATCTCGAGAAAAACAGCGGACATTCTCCTCCAAGAGAAAAAAATGAAAGAGAGACAGACCTTCCCAAGTGATTGCGCATGAAGTAGGGATCCTTGCCCAGGTCGATCGTCTCGATGGCGAGGCGCCGGAGACGCTCGCGCCTATCGATCGCCTCATTCTGAGCCGACGCCGCGCCACCGCTCCCGGGCTTGCTCCCCCACTCCCTGTCCATCGCGCTCCTAGCAAAAAACCCTAAATCTTTGACGAGAGAAAATCCCAGCCGTTTGCTAGATTCACAGTAACGAGGACAATCTCCACCGTCCAATTTCAAAACATTAAGGACCGTCCGATCCATACTCTAGAATTTCTAAAGCTTGTAGAGACGCACTGGATAGCCGTCCTCCAGCGATGGTAGCTCACATCTTTGCTTGTCTCGTTTGGCTCCCATCTATCAAATTTAAGTGATAGAAAGCTTTTCTAAAGAACACGAAAAAACACACGGAAGCTTACTTGTAAGTTGTGCCAGCCTGTGAATGAACACGAGCATCTCTAGTTTCGAGAGCTCTCGCCCAGCACAACTCCGGCTCCCAGCTCCAAATGGAGTATAGCTTCCGCGCTTGGGAGCAACCTGAGACATACCTTGGGATCGAACTTATGAGGATCTGGAAAGTGCTGCTCGTTTAGATTAGCCTGCAAATAGCATTTTAGTGGCATTCTTTAGACACAATGGAGGTGTTCTTACCCTGATAGACAACGTCTTCTGCGATCTCCCGGATCACGGCGGGAGGGACATTTGATAATTCCTGGATAACATGCCATGGAAAAACTTGTAAATAAACGAAAGAACACAATTTTAACTTTACCATCCACGTGAAATGCATGTCATGACAATCCTCCCAAGTCAGATATTTATCTCCGTCCTTTCTCTTCGTTATCCGTATGTGCTCATCCTGACCACAAACTCATACACTTCTTTAGAATATTTTTTGCCCCAGTCACACAAAAAGAATACCAACATTAAGATCCTATCCCTTACACACAGGGCCTTTTCTTATTTTATTATTCTGATTTAGTTGTTAATAATATGTTATGACTCGGCATTAAATAATATCTATCCTCATTTACACTATGCTATATCTCTTTTTAAGGTTCTGCACCACCCAACCACCCTTGAACTACCTCAAAATCTTCATTATGTTATTGTTCCCATTGTAAAGAGTAGATTAAGTTCCTATAACCAATATACCTTTGGCCCCTTGGTCAAAATTGATACCTAACAACTCTTTGCTGCCCCCTCCCCCCAAAAAAAATGTCTTTTGGATTCTTCTCAAGCTAATGGTCCACAACTATATAATGTGAGATAGTATACCTTTCAATTACCTGACATAAAATATTAGATGAGTTTTCTCAGAAGTGGTCTACATTAGTAAACTCAAAAATGAATGAAATTATGGATGTATAAACGACATTCGCCAGTACTTTGTCACATAGCTTACCTTGAGATCTTCGAATACACTTGGATTCTCATGCAGAAACTTCATGACAGGCACGCAATACAATTATCAACAACCTCATCGGTTGACAGAGGCCCTCCATCCTCTCTGGAGTCTAGAAGAGTTTGCAGCAAATCAGCATGCGGAGTTTCTGAATCTCTTTGTCTTTGACAAATAATCGTTTTAAAGTAAGATAGCCTGAAACAAAGTGCTCGGAATAAAAAACCTTAAGTATTGTAATTGCATACCTGTAAACACAGAATGGTACGTTTACTGGAAGACTGACGATGCCTTTCGTCAATGCCCTGATGTCATTCAAAATTGTCTGTGTTGTTAAGTTTTGTGGATCCAACTCCCTCGTCGCAAACCAAGCTCGCGATCCCAAGAAATGTGAACTGAAAGCATTGGCAAAGTCAGTTCCATTCATCGAGCTTTCGTTCCAAATACCTTTTCCATCTCTGGCCTCATCACAGTGCGCACACCTTCGGACAGGCCATCTGCGCGCACTCTCATCAAACTTCTGAACCTTCTGTTTGAGAACTTCCGGTACCATGTGTGCGAGAATTAGCTTGTAAAATCTCCGATGCAAGTCATCGTTTGCCTGGTTCACTTGGTGCGGCCACAATGTGTTTCTCATAGACTTCAGCTTGGACGCCTTGCAAAACTTGGAGCCTTCTTGCTCCAAAAAGAACTTGTTTGCATCAATCGTCGAAACTATTACAGTTGGATGGCGTATAAGGTAGCTTGAAAGTATGTCATATCTGAATCAAAAGCCCATTTGTCAGCCATTCCAGATCCCAATCCACAAGGTTACGCACTTTTTACGGTGGTTTCCCACAAACTTATCTGGAAGCGTTGTAAAGAGCATAAAAGTTTCGCCGGAATTCCCTGGTGGAGGCAAAACTTGTCGGCGGCAGCTTGGTCTCGATTTAAGGATAACATAGTAGCCAGTAGCGATGAACATAAAAATAACACACATCGGCCATGCACCTGCAAAACTTTCCAAGGTAAACATCGAACTTTCAGGAGAGAAAAATCGTTACCAGATTTTTATAAAGTACTGCATTGCCGAAACAGATACGCCAGGGCGAATTCCTCAGTGGCTTCTAAGTTCGAGGACGAGACGATACACACAAAGGCATATAGAATCGACATATTCATTTCAGCCACGTCATAACCAAACAATGTGAACCACGCTAACTATAAGTTAATGTCTAAGAAAATACCCCACCAGGACACCCAAGATTCCCACAAAAAAAACGAAAAAGAGTGAATAACCATGCCCTCTCGAGGTTGTAGTGTGATTGCTAGAGACTTTAGCATTGGCCTGCAACGGGTCCTACTTTAGAAAAGAACTAGAAAAACTAGATTCCGTACCAGTTCTTGCTCGAGCTCTCGCGTTTGATGCTTTGCCAAGTCGCGCTCGTTCGACAGTGTTGTCAAGGATGCTCGTGCCTGCAAGCAACAGATAGCTTAAAACTCACGTTCACGATACTTGTTACCTCTGCAATCTTGCTCTCAAGTTCACCGGCAGTTTTAGGCCCCTGTAAACCAACAACGTGTCCATCCGAGTTTCGTGCAGCTAAAAGGTATGAAAAGTCTTACGTCTCTCAGTGAAAAGATCCAGTCTCCATTGTCGGCTTTTGATGGAGAAACAGTTTCTTCGGCGGACTCGGGAACCGGAGACGGAGGTTGAGGCGGAGAGACATAGACAACTTTCAGCTTGTTCTCGAAAACCTCCGCCCCATTCTCTTTGTTAAACTGCACCAAAACAATTCTAAACCAACGATGTTTAGAAAGCTATGAACTGACCAGCTCCTGGGACACTTCTTGAAACTGAGCACCCTCCGGTGCTCGAACACTTTGCACAAGGAACTTGTCCTTGCACTGCTGCAGGTCTGGGGGATAGTCTCGTTGTGCTTGCATGGTGACTGGAGCAAACAAGCACGGGGTCAATCTTAATAGAAAAAACAAAAAAAAAAGGAAGAGAGAACATACTGATAATGTCAACGCTGCCATGAGGTGGAACAAAACCAGCATTCGGACGAACAGAATATTTCTTTGGTGATGTAGTTTTCACCTGGAAATAAAAAGAACAAAGAATTAGAGCACTCACACAGACGTATCATTTCTTCCTTGGTTACCTTAAACGCCACATACTCGTCGGTGTTATTCTTGAGCTCCAAGGGGCAAGCAATTTGCTTCTTCAACTCAACTATTTCCAGCAAAACAAACAGAGCGAGCGAAATTAGGACAAAGCTTAGATCCAAAAGTCTTCGCAAGCTGGACCTCTATTCTGGGGGGCAACAAATGTCTACCTCTCCGAAGCCTTCCAGCCTTGATTGGAAAGCCTAGGCACGAAATCGAGAGAAATTTTTACTCTACTAGACCGCGGAATCCACACAAAACACAGGGTCGAGAATCTTACAGGGGAATTTGAGCTCCGTCGGCTGGAAACTCAGAAGCTCGCTCGGCATCGTGCCCGATTCTCGATCTCCCTGTTTTCACCGCTGCGCTGGGAATTCTTATTTCCACCCCTGCCATTCCGGAAGATCATCAGCCAAAAACAGGCGCTCAGATCTGGACGCTCTTGCCTGGATCCACCAATTCCGCGATATTTACATGGATCCAATGCTGCGCCTTGCTCGCGTCTAGCCAAGAACCCTAAATCCAATCGTCCAAAAAGAATGTGACCCGAGTAGCACCTGATAGAAGGGTAACGCAGAAGTATCACCGCGCCACGTTGGCAGTGACGTGGACGTGGGATAAAACCCAGCGAAGAGAAAAAACAATGGAAAGCACAGCTAGCGAGCGCTTCGAGATCGCGGCAAGAACATAAAAAACAAAAAAAAAACAAAAGAGATCGAGAGAGAGAGAAAAAAAAGAAAAAAAAAAAGAGGGACGAACGATCGATCGAAGCTTTGGTGATCAAAGTAAAACCAGTCCCAATTCCGCTGGCTTGAGCGCCTCCTTCATCCTGTAGTTGTAGAGGTAGTAGTGTAAGTGGCCATCGCCGGGGCCAAACTTGAGCTCCTTGAGGAAATCCTCGTTGTGCATGATGTCGAGCGCGTTGAAAACATCGTAGTCGCAGCGCTTGGCCATGATCAAGACGTCGTTCATCAGCTGCGCGATCGGCGTCGCGCCGGAGACGTTGTAGTACGAGTAGGCCGCCTTGAGCACCGAGTACTGCTCGTTCCCGATCACGGTCGACGGCAGCGTGTAGAAGCTCGCGAAGTCGGTCACCTCGCGGCTCTCGGGGTTCTCCACGACGTAGCTGTTGACGACGTTCTCCAGGGGGAGCAGCCAGTACTCGACGTCGGCCTCGGTGAAGACCGGCGCCACCGAGAACTGCGCCAGGTAGCCGCGCAGCAGCGCCGTCACCTTGGCGACGTCGCGCCGCTCCATGGCCCGGAACCCCGGCGTCACCGTCTCCCTTGGCAGGCGGTACAGCCGGATGGTCCGGCTCATGGTGTTCCTGGCGCCCAGCCGCGAGAACCCCACGTCGATGAGCTTCTTCGGGTTGAGCGAGCGGTGCCAGTACTGGCAAGTCGCCACCGGGGTCGGCAGCACGACGCCCGCGGTATAGGCAGCGTGCCACAGGTTCTCCAGATGAACTCTCCGCGTCACCTCCTTGATGAGCACCGGCGCGAGGCGCTTGGATCGCAGCTTCTTGTGCACGCACAGGAAGTTGATCTCGGCCATGTTGATCACCGACTCCTTGACGCGGATCCGGGCCGGGACGCCGGTGATGAAGGCGACGAGCTTCTTGGAGGTCTTTGCTCGGACGCCGATGTGCCAGTTGGGGAAGTAGCCCGGCGGGCGGAGCGCCCAGCGCAGGAAATCCACCGAGTAGTCGAAGCGAAACATGTTGTCATCGTCCTCGACGTAGTTGTTGGTGAGCAGCGCGTAGATTTCCGCCATGGCGTCCTCCGAGTTGACGTCGCAGGTGCACCACTCGTAGCTGCTGGGGAGATTGTAGGGCTCCTGCTTCACCTCGGACGGCGGCGTCGCCGGCTCGATCGATCCGTCGGGCAGATCGGCATTCTCCTTGTCCCTGTACTGACCTACGGGCTGCGTCTCCCAGAATTGGTGCCGCTTGCTCTCCGGCGACGCGCGCATCTCGGGCGAAAGAACGCCGCGCCGGTACATTTAGCTCCCCCTCTTTGTTCCTCGCCCCGCCCAAGAACCCTAAAATTTCATAGCCCGCCCCGCCGTCGATATAATCGCGCGGGAGACGTGGCCCCGCCATGCCCGTCCGTTTCGGGGATCCCACAGCGCCTGGATCTCGCGACGCCGCGGCCATAATCCCCCCCGAGCGCCTCGCCCGCGCGCGATTCGACGATGCCAGCTTCCAGGAGTACCACGCGCTCGCCTGCTGCGTCAAATCGTGCTCCAAGGCCAAGGATCTGGCCGAGGCGGTGGCGATCCACGGCCGGATCAAGGCCTCCAGCTACGCCGCCGATCGCTACCTCAAGAACCTGCTCATGGACATGTACAGCAAATGCGGCAGCCTGGAGCACGTCCGATCGGTGTTCCAGAGCCTGGACCGCGGCGATCGCAACGCATTCTCGTGGAACATCATGGTGTCCGCGCTGGGGAGGAACGGGCATCTGGAGGAGGCGCGCAAAATGTACGAGGAGATGCCCGAGAAGAGCACGGTGGGCGCCAACGCGATGATCAACGCCTACGCCAAGGGCGGGCATCTCGCGGAAGCCCTAGACGTCTTCGCCAAGATCCCCAAGAAGGACGTGGTCTCGTGGACGAGCATCGTCACCGCATATGCCGAGAACGGGCATATTCTCGAGGCCCGGCGGATATTCGACAAGATGCCCGATAAGAACGTCGTCTCGTGGACGGCCATGATCACCGGCTACATCGAGAATGGCTGCCTGGGCGAGGCGCGCCGCCTCTTCGACGCCATGCCCGTACGGAATATCTCCTCGTGGAACAACATGGTCAAGGGATATGCCATGTACGGGCATACGGAGGATGCCCGCGCGGTGTTTGACGACATGCCGCAGAAGAACGTCATCTCCTGGACGTGCATGGTGACGGCGTACGCCCAGAAGGGGAATCTCCGCGAGGCACGGGGTATTTTCGATGCCATGCCCGACAAGAATGTCGTGTCGTGGAACGCGATGATCACGGCATATGCCCAGTGCGGGTATCTGGGGGAGGCAAAGCGGATATTCGACGCGATGCCCAAGAGGGACCCGGTGACCTGGACGGCGATGGTCACGGCATTTGCCCAGCACGGGGATATTCTCCAGGCGAGGGCGCTCTTCGAAAAGATGCCGCAGAAGGTTCTCGTGTCGTACAACGCCATGGTGGCGGCATACGCCCAGAATGGTGACGTGGACGAGTCCCGGCGGCTGTTCGACGCCATGGAGCAGCGCAACGTCGCGAGCTGGAACGCGATGATCTCCGGCTACGTGAAGAACGGCCGGGGGTGGGATGCCCTAGAGATCTTCAAGCTCATGGATCTCACGGGTATGCATCCCAACGACATCACTTTCATGAGCGCAATCGATGCCTGCGCGGACCTCCAGGCGCTGCTCGAGGGCCAGATCCTCCACGCGGAGATCACGGCCAGCGGTACGGAGCCCGACGCGTACCTCCGCAATGCGCTGCTTCACATGTACGGCCGCTGCGGCAGCCTCGCCATGGCCGAGTCGCTCTTCGACGATATGCCCGACCGGGATCGCTGGTCGTGGAATGTGATGATCTCCTCGTATGCCCACGGCGGGCATACCAGGAGATCGCTCGCGTTCTTCGCGGAGATGGCGCTGGATGGGATCACGCCCGATGGAGTGACGTTCGTGGCCGTGCTGGGGGCTTGCAGCCACGCCGGGCGCGTCGATCTGGGTTGCCACTACTTCGTCTCGATGAGCACGGATTACTCCATGGCGAGGGACGTGGATCACGACCTCTATGTGTGTCTGATCGATGTTCTTGGGCGGTCCGGGTGGATCAAGGAGGCCGAGGATTTGATCGCAAACATGCCCTTCCAGCCCGATTCCGTGGCGTGGGCGACGCTCCTGGGCGGGTATAGGAACTATGGGAGTCTTGGGAGAGGGGCGCAGCAGGCCGCGCAGTGTGTCTTTCAGCTGGATCCAGAGGACTCGGCGCCGTATGTGTTGCTCCACAATTTGTACAAATCGGGTAGGAGGAGGCAAGAGGGCGATGGCGATTTCGAGCAAGCGATGAAGCCCACCATGGGGTATTTCTGAGGATCGATCGAGCAATTGATCAAGAGATGGAAGCACAAACCGAGAATATCCGAAATATCCAAGAACATTTTTGGCGCCAAGCATGGATCGTAGCCGACTGCGCGAGTTTCGGGTCTAAATGCTATGATCGCGGAAGGCTCGATCGTCTTGAAAGACCACCAATTCCTGCAAGAGCTATCGTTCGCCAATTGATCCGGAATGCAATTGGATTTGGATCAAGCGCCGCCGCCGCCGCCGCCGCTGCTGCTGCTGCTGCTGCTGCTCATACTCACTGCATCGATTCCACACGCTTCTCGAGCGCCGAGCTTCGACTACGCCGACGCTCTGGACAAATCCATCCTATTCTACGAGCAGCAGCGCTCGGGAGAGCTCCCCGAGGATCAAAGAGCGACATGGCGGGGGGATTCCGCGCTCACCGATGGACAAGATGTCAATGTTGTGAAATCAATCGATCTTTCCTTGTAAATTGACTGGCGATCGCCCTGTTCTTCCAGGTCGATCTCGTTGGAGGCTACTACGACGCTGGAAACAACGTGAAATTTGGATTCCCAGGGGCCTTCACGACCACAATGTTGGCTTGGTCCGTCATCGAGACCGGTCTGGAGCTCGATTCCCTTGGCGAGCTTGGTTATGCCAAGGAAGCCGTACGATGGGGTGCCGACTATATAGCCAAGACGTACAGCGCGCCCAATGTACTTTGGGCCCAGGTGATTAATTACCTTTCCCTATGATAATGCGGCACGAAGCACTTTGTTCTTCCTTGTTCTTCGTCTAGGTCGGGGATGCTCAAGCCGATCATGCGTGCTGGGAGAGGCCCGAGGATATGGACACGCCAAGAACGGCGTACAGGATCGATGCGGCGCATCCAGGCTCGGATCTTGCGGGGGAATCGGCTGCGGCGCTCGCGGCGTCGTCGATCGTCTTCCAGATTACCGATCCGGGGTATTCCAGCGAGCTCCTCGCCAAGGCGCAAGATGTAAGTTTGGGATTTGGATCGATTTCGAGACCGATGTCCGACGGATTTTCTTTGGTATAGATTTTCCGGTTTGCAGATGCTTACAGGGGAAAATACAGCGATTCTCTGGGCGGGGTTGTCACGCCGTACTACAATTCCTTCTCTGGTTACGAGGTATTTGCTAGATCCCCTAGAAAGTTTCAACTCAGTTCTTGTGATCCAGGATGAGCTTCTCTGGGCTGCTGCTTGGCTCTACAAAGCATCTCGCGACGAACAGTACTTGAGCTACTTGATCGAGAATGGTGCTGGATTTGGAGGAACTACCGGGACATACTACACGGCTACCTGGGACAATAAGCTTGCCGGCGTCCAAGTTTTGGAATCACAGGTAATCTGGAAACTTTCTTTGCAATCCATCGCTCGTTTTTTTGGTTCATAGTTGTTCTTCTCGGGAAGGAGCGATCTGGAAGGGTATAAAACCCAAGCTGACAACTTCGTATGCTCTGTTCTTCCGGGAAATCCCAAGTCCACAGCCACGATTACACCAGGTGAGGTTCGTTCTCCTTGGAATGGGATTAGATTGATTGGAAAGGTGGTGGAAACTTTCAATTGATCCAGGTGGTTTGCTCTACGTCCAAGAAGCAAGCAACATGCAATACGTGACTAGCGCTGCGTTTTTGTTTTTCACGTATGCCAAGTATCTGGAGGACGCGTCCCAGACAGTCTCTTGTGGAGACGTCCAGGTCTCTCCGGACGAACTCAATGCTTTTGCGAAGCAGCAGGTATGATTTTCATCAGTTCATTCATTCTTCATTCTAGAGTATCACTCCCTTCTTCCAGGTGGATTACATCCTGGGAAACAATCCCAGGAACTCGTCATACATGATTGGGTTCGGCCGCAATTTCCCGCAGCGCGTCCATCACCGTGCCTCGTCCATGCCCTCGATCGAAGATCATCCTGCCAAGATTGGATGTCAAGAGGGATTCCAGTACCTCCAAGCATCGTCTCCAAATCCAAATCCCATCGTTGGGGGCGTAGTTGGAGGCCCCGATAGCAGTGACCAATACTCGGACGATCGAGAAGCTTTCACCCAGTCAGAGCCATCGACATATATCAATGCCGGATTGGTTGGAGCGCTCGCAACACTCGCGGGACAAACCTTATAGATCACACTCCCTGGGAAAAAAGCTGGGGAAGAACTTTTTTGGCGGTAAATTTTGAATTTGAATTAAAAGTTCCGGCGCGTAAGATATGGCGAAACCAACGGTACAGATTGGACATACCGTTCCGTGGCGGAAAGTCCCATTTGTTTGGAGAAGACTATATATCCAGATATGAACAAGGGGTTTTGTCTGGAACCCTAATTCCGGGGGAGAGAGGGAGAGATTAGGGCTCGTGGGATGCTGCATCGCGCTCCAATTTCCTATTCCTCGATGCCGCATTCTGCCCCAATGCGCCATCTCCTCTGGTAAGATCGTGATTCTACCGTTTGCTCGAATTCCCGGAATTCCCCGCCAAGGGCAGGCGATTCTTCCACGATGATGGGCGTGGATTTTGATCTGCCAAAGGAGGTGCTGTCGGTGCTGCCGACGGACCCCTTCGAGCAGCTGGATTTGGCGAGGAGGATTACATCCATGGCTATCACATTGAGAGTGGCCAAACTGGAGGCCGATGAGAAGAAGCTCATGCAAAAAGTGGCGGAGAGGGACAAAGTTATCTACGAATTGAAGGAGAGGCTCTCGGAGACCGAGCACAATTTGCAGGATGCTATGGGTCGATTGACAACGGCGTTGGATGAACAGGTCTGGATAGAATTGGATTGATCTCTTTCTTTTTTTCGCTGATTGCTCTCAAACTCTCTCCAGACCAAACTTACGAATGAGAGAAACGTTCTTATGAGCACAGTGAAGAAACTGAATAGAGATGTTGCAAAGGTTTGATTTTTTTTTTCCTGTCTTCTCTTTCATCTCTCACGTTTGTGTTTTTGTTTCTCGTTAATTTTATCTGGCAGCTGGAAGCATTCAAGCGAACTTTGATGCAGTCTCTACAAGAAGACGAGGACGGTGGTACGGTATGTGACTAGAAAAACGATGCTCTTTTCACTCACGCACTATAAATTTTCTTTCCAATTCCCAGGAATCTGGAAATCGCGTCAAAGGTAGCTCGACACTGTTCTATTGCTTTGTGACACTGTTCCATCTGTCTGCATTACAGATGCAGATACGTCCGGTTCCGGCCAAGATGATATCCAAGATGGTAATCGTTTCAACTTTTCCTTAAACTGATATAACCGTAATCGATATAGCTCAAAGGAACCGCACACTCTCGCTCACTCCAACGCTTACGCCAAAGTTGTCTCCCATAGGTTCTCCAAAGGATCTATCAGCATCGGTAACACCTTTGCAATTATCGGCTCCAGGCTCGCCTCGTCGACTGTCGGCAATTGAACCGAGATTCGCATCTCTTCCAGCGAGCCATACTATAACTGCACCAAGCTCGCCTCCTATACCAGGTAAAACTTAGAGTTTTGTATCGTTGCTAAGTTATCCGTCGCATCTTTCCATCCAGGTCGGACTCCCAAGGTGGATGGGAAGGAATTTTTCCGGCAAGCAAGGTAAAGTCTAATGCAAAAGCTGTTCTTTTCTCACCGTTTTCTTTTTTATGGAATCGCAGGAATCGTCTGTCCTACGAGCAATTCAGTGCCTTCCTCGCCAATATCAAGGAACTCAACGCACATCGCCAAACACGGGAGGTAAGAACAGAAGATCTGGAAGGCAAAAAACACTTGGAATTGGATTTATTTGCTCCAGGAAACGCTGAGGAAAGCCGGAGACATATTTGGAGCTGACAACAAGGATCTGTATCTTGCGTTTGAAGGCCTTTTGAGTCGGCATCTCCCGTCCTAGTGCCGCTGTTTTATAATTCATAGATCTGTGCAGCGTGGGTTTGATTTGGTCATTTATTTATTTATTTTTTAAAAAAAGAGAGAAAATTTGAGAATTAATTTATTAAATTCATACGTTTTGTTTAATCCATTCTGGAACACTTCAGGTCCTTTTCCTTCCTGTGTGTGCTTTTCATTTCTAAAGCACTACCACCACCACCACATTTGCTTTTCACTTCACTTGCAATTCACTCCACGCCATTTTCAGGCCCACGAGTCTTTCCCAGAAAATAAATATTACGCTTTATAGCATGAACCATTTCCTCACCTGTGTACTTGCTACTTGCATAGTTATATAGATAATATAGATCATAGATTGCATACTTGGAACTTGAGCATCATTAGCAAAGCTCACAAACCCTTGCTTTTTTCATCCATCAATCTCATGCTTCAAGTTGGGCACCACGAAACTAATATAGAAGCATATAGATAGATAAATAACACCCATGATTCAAGAGAATCAGAGAGAAAGGATCTTGATCTACTTTGCCATAAACTTCAGAATGCAAACATTTGATTTCCTCAGACTTTTCCTCAATATTTCACAACATAATTTGTAACAATATTTCACGCTTGCCCTTCCAACATCCGAGTTTTTGGAATAGGACTTTTAGGGTTCATCATTCCTGATTAAAAAAAAGAAACGTTTTGCAGCAGCCAGTTCAGACTGTGCCTGAACCCTCAGCTGTCAACTGTGTGCTGCGCGTGTGTGTGGACCCATGCTCACATGTGAACCAACGGACATTGAAACCGACCTCCCCTCCAACAATCGTGATTCACCTCTGATTACTATCAAGAAAGTCCAAGTTGCAATGCCCGGCAGCTGCTTCTTCTTCTTCTTCCTTCCTTCCTAGTTTTTCTTCTTCTAAAGACGTAGACATGATGATGAATTCTTCCTGTAAAGGAGATCGATCGGTCGTTCGCATGGCTGCCTCACGGAAGAAAAAAGAAAGAGAGACTTTGGCTCTCCACACAGAATATTGGAGGACACACAGCTATAGTCTATCAACTGGCGAAAAGCTTGTAAAGCCGGAAAACAAAGCAAGCAACAAAAGCAAGTCACATCCACAGCTCCTTTTTTTCCTCATCTTTTTCTTGGACCAATTTGCACTGAAAGATGCAGCAGCAGCAGCCAGGAATTGATCTAAAGGATGCAGCATGGAAAAAGAATCCATGAAATAAATTATGATCTAAAGGTCCAGCCAAGGGACAAAACAAGTGGGGCTCTCTCTATATCTCTAGAATGACTCATCTACATCCAATTCCTTCCTAGATAGCTTATAGGGGGATCAAAACACTCAAATCAAAACCAATGAGCCGTGTGAAAGGTGGTGGTGCGTGTAGTGTGTGTGTGCTTCCCCAATGAAAGAAAAAAAAAATCCAATCCCTCCAAATGATACGTAGACCACCCCCCTACGCTCTAGAATAGAAGCGCCGCCGCGAGGGAAGAGGCCACGAGAACGGACGCTGCGGATGCGACGATTGAGATTGCGGACGATGGAGATTGAGGAGCGAGGTCGGACGCGCCTGGAGCGCTAGCGGGGCTGGAACCGGTTGGAGGCGCAGGTGGGGAAGCTGCCGGTGAGGCGGTCGGGGTCACAACTGGAGTGGCAACCGGGGGCGTCAGAACCGGGGTAGGCGCTGCCACAACTGGAGTCGGTGCAGCCACGGGTGGGGTCAGCACAACTGGGGCGGGCGCCGCAGCCGGGGGCGGAGTGGCAACTGGAACTGGTGCCGGTGGTGGAGTCGCAACTGGGGGCGGTACCGTCGGTGGGGTCGCGGGCGCCACAACTGGAGGAGGGACGGACGGAGGAGGAGCCGCAACCGGGGCCGGTACGGTTGGTGGCGGTGGTACGGTCGCCGCTGGCCCTGCCGCGCTTCCAGAGGGAGCTCCCGCCGGAGTCGCCAGGATGATGTTTAGTCCCTTGCCTGGATGAACTGCCACAAAGAACCAGAAGAACGAAAAGAATCTCAGTAAAGATCGACCAGAATCTCTGTTCTGTCGCTCGAATCATCGCCCTCTGCTCTAGATCTAGATCAACTAGCGCTAGGAAACTTACCCACGAACTCCTCCTCGCAAATGCAGGTGTGGATCAGCGCCAAAAGAGCCAGCGCCAAGAGCTGTGGTCTCCTCCCGAAAGCCATTGCAAGAAATCTAGAGAATGTAGGATCGATCTGGGCGAATGAGAGGCTGCCCACGAGACCCAATGCAAGATTCTACCGAGAGGGCGCGGTGGATTGCCGGATGGAGGGAGTGGATTGCTGCTAGATCTGGGCGCGCGAGAGCGAGCGAGGACGCGCTAGGCTACGCGAGAGAGGAGGAATGAAGCGAGGGCAGTGGCATTTAAAGGAGAGGGATGAGAGACGTTTGCGCTGAGCTGAGCTGGGGGCAGGCTGTGGCAGTGCGCGATGCTTAAAACCCTCTCCCTCTCTCGCAAAAAAAAAAGATCTTAACCCTTCACTGGAAAGGTAGCTGTTGCAAAGCGACAAATAGTTAAAACATGGCCACCGTCACGAGTGACGGGTGGAACGGCCTTGGGCCTCATCACGAGTGAGTGGCTCACGCCCGGAGCGTACGGAATTGACGCGCAACGGTCCTATTTTCCAGCGTTAAGGCTTTGATTATAGAAAAAATTCCTCTGGCCTCGTTTTGATGAGCGATGATCCAGACGTTCTTGAATGCTCTCCACGCAATTAAGATAGATTACTAATTAATACTTTTTAATAATAGAATGGCTGTACTTGGGAAGCACTCTACAGTGCTTGTGAAAAGCCCCTGTGACCAGCAGTAACAAAATCTTTTCGTGTATATTTTTTTCTTGTTGGGTGATTGATTTCGCGGACGGTGGCAAATCATCTCATGGTTTTTTGGCTTGTTTTGCATTGCCAGGGAAGCATTTGGTGGATCGTACGGCAGAGATCATTCTCCGTACGGAAGTGACGCGGTAGAAAGTCCAACGAGAATGCATTCTTATTCAGCGTTCACTAATTTGACCGCCTAATGTTTGCGACCAAATCTTTGTCAAGGTAACATCCGCGTTTTCATTTCTATAGCTGCGTTTTCGTGACTGAGATGATCAGCATGCATGTGTGTATAAAGCCCCGCTGCTTCCATAGTCCCGGCAGAGCAAAGTTCTTCGTGGATTTCTTCTTGCTTCATTCCACGACCAGGATTATCTCAATCCGTGATCGAAATTCACCTTGCGTTTGAGAAAGGAAAGAATGGCAGCAGCAAAGTGGATCGCAATGGTGGCGCTGGCTCTAGTAGCAGCTTGTCAGCTCGCCATGGCAGTGGATTATCAGGTCGCTGGAGCCGCCCCCGGCTGGAGCATCCAGAATGGCTACACGGAATGGGCAGCTACAAACCAGTTCCGGGTGGGAGACACGCTCAGTAAGTTCTTACATCGAAACTCCTTTTGTGTTTCTTGAGGTTTCCAAAAAGTTGTGATCCTTCATTCCATCCTTGCCAAACTCTCTCATTTATCTTGCTCATGGTACACAACCTTCTTCAAAGTATTACAATACTCCTCCACTGTTGCACCATCGTCTCCAAAACTTCTTTAAACTCTTCTTACACATCTTGCATGCTTGCTCTCATGATCAAACGCATCTTTCCTTGTTTTCTAGATCTTTTGCGACGGAAACTTCCGATGGCTTGGTCTTAGACATTGCATTGTTTCCAAACTCTACACCGCCATGTATGTAACTTTTGACTGGGCTTTTGCAGCGTTTACTTACACGGGCAACCACAACGTGTTGGAAGTGAGCCGTGCCGCCTACGATAGCTGCGACGCGTCCCAGCCCATCCAGTCCTACTTGACGCCCAGCCCCATCCAGGTCACCCTGACCACAAGTGGGGAGCACTGGTTCATCTGTGGAGTTCCCGGCCACTGCGGTGGAGGCATGAGGGTACCCATTAACGTTCTCGAGGCCACAAGCGGGGCACCAGGTGGGGCGCCCGCCGTTCCCAGCACCCCAACCGGTGTTGCGTTTCCTCCGCCACGACCAAACTCCGCTGCTGGAAATTCTCCAGTCCTCTCGGCCGGACTCGCTGCGGCTGCGGCTGGAGCCTTGGCGATTTTGTTGTAGATTTTGATTTAATATTTTGGATTTTACCAAAAAAAATTTAAAAATTCTTTTGAGGTTTTATTGTTTTAAAGAAATAATCTCGATCATGAAATACCATAGAAATATGCCACAAAAGTCTACGATAATCAAAGATGGCGCCCTGGAATATAATTACCTTCTGAAAGCAAATAAAATGTTATAACTATTCATTGGTATTTGGAGGAACTTTGCTTGTACCTTTTATCGAAAAGACAAAGCAAGCAAGCATCCGAATTGAAGAACACGAAGCTCCATCTGGTGGAAGCAACAGGAACAATAGTCCTTTTTGGAAGTTTGAGCGTTTGCTCTCTGCTGCCCTGTGTAAAGTTTAAGGATCCGGCCGGCCATTTGCAACGCGCTTCCTCCGGCCCGTGTGCCATCCGGAGCCGTCGAGGAGGCCTCTCCGTTACTATAAAAACAAGCCCATCGCAAAGCATTTCCCAGGCAGCAAAAAGATCTTCCAGGTCTTCTCAGCAGCATCAAGAGTTGTCTAAAGATCTTTCAAAGTTTACCAGCAGCAAAAGAGAAGCTTCCTTGGCTCAATTCAAGATCCAGGAAAAGTTTGTGATTTCTATCCAGATGGCTCAGGGAAGATGCATGGCCGTTCTCGTCGCTCTTGTGACCTTCGCAGCGGTGTGCGAGGCTCAAGACCACAGCACCCCATGGAACTTGTCTATGAAGAAGGAAGACTACAAAGCTTGGGCCGCGACGCAAACTTTCCTGACGGGACAAACTCTGCGTAAGCTCAATTCGAATCGATCAATTCACATGATATCGATCTCTTACTTTTTTTTTCTTGGAACTCTGTTTCTAGAGTTTAAATACGAGTCGGGACACAGTCTGCTGGCGCTTGCAACCCAGGAGGCGTACAACAACTGCGATCTCAGCAATCCCGTCAAGACTTTCACAGAGCCAAACCCGATCGTCACTCTCGGAGCTCCAGGCAAGAAGTTCTACGTTTGTGGGGTTGGGAACCACTGCAACGCGGGAATGAAAGTTATCATCAACGTTGTCTCCAGCGCCGATGCTGCCGCTCCTCCCGCGGAACCTCCACAGAAAGGAGCGGCGGGCAATCTCGTCTCCTCCAGCGCCTTCGTCGTGGCCCTTGGAGCTGTGGCCGCCGCCGCCGCGGTGCTCTAGATCCTCCAATTCTTCCGATTAAGAACTACGTATTTTTTGGTGTTCAACATTGTTATTGAGATGTTGAGCTCCAGACGATTGTTTCTCAATTAAATTCAGTTTTTTTGTTCTCTCTCTTGTTCTCAAAAATTATCGATCCAGCATTGCAGAATTCTGTAAGTATAGCAACAACAATTCACACACACTCACACACACACACAGAGTTCCTCAACAAAAATCACTTTTCTTTAAGAAAATTCTCTTCAACAGGGAGTTTTAGGGTTCTGGAATGAGAGAGAGATTTCCTCAACGGAAATCACTTTTCTTCTCTTCAACAGGGAGTTTTAGGGTTCTTGGCAAATGGAATGCCGGTATCATCAATCCGGCACCAAAATCTCTCCTCGATCGAGGAAGTGGTGCGGCGGCTGGAGGAGGAATCCACTGCCGGCGGCGACGACGCATACCGATGCGCGCAGCTGCTGCGCCTGTGCGGCCGATCCAAATCTCTAGCTCATGGCAGCCGCGTCCACGCCCAGATCCTTCTCCGCTCGCGCGGCCGCTGCTCCACATTCCTCGCCAATCTCGTCGTCCAGATGTATGGGCGCTGCGGCGAGCTCTCCCGCGCGCGCGAGGCATTCGACGCGATTGAAGAGCCCAATCTCTTCTCGTGGGCGATCCTCATGGCGGCCTACGTGCTCAATGGCCACGACCGCGCGGCGCTGCGATTGTTTCGCGCGATGGACCAGCAAGGGATCCCGGCGGAGAGCGCGACGCTCGTGAGCGCCATAGGCGCAATCGCGGGGATCGGCGATCTGGCTTTGGCCAGGGCAATCGAGGTGCGCGTCCGGAGAACTGTCCTCGACAGGATCATCGTGGCGGGCGGCGCACGATCGGACGTGATCGTGGAGACTGCGATGATCAACATGTTTAGCAAGTGTGGGGCAGTGATCGAGGCACTCGCAGTGTTTGATCGGATCCAGGATCGCAATCTGGTATCGTGGAACGCGATGATTACAGCATTTGCCCAGAACGGGCATCGCAGGGAGGCAGTGGAGCTCTACCGGAGAATGGAGGAGGAAGGGATCCGGGCCGATGAGAGCACTTATCCGAGTGTTCTTGGGGCGTGCCAGAGCTTGGCGGAGGGGCGATCGATTCACGCCAGGATTTGCAGCGCGGGGCTGGAGCTGGATGTCGTGGTGGGATCTGCGCTGGTGAGCATGCATGGGCGATTCGGCGCGCTGGAAGCCGCGCGGGATGTGTTTGATCGAATGGAGCACAAGAACGTAATCACCTGGTGCGCGATGATCTCTGCGTATGCGCAGAATGGGCATCCCAGGCAAGCGCTGGATGGCTTCGCGAGGATGGGCAGGATCAAGCCCAACTCGGTGACGTTCTTGGCGGTTCTTGAGGCCTGCTCGCTTCTGGGCGATCTGGAAATCGGGAGAGGGGTTCACGGGCAGATCGTGGAGGCTGGATTCGATGGCGAAGAGAATGTGAGCAATGGGCTCATCAACATGTATGGGAAGTGTGGGAGCTGGAGCGATGCGAGAGTGGTGTTTGATGCCGCGAGAAGGTCTTCTCTCCGGAGGAACACGGTGGTGTCTTGGAATTCGATGATAGAGGCTTATGCCCAGCTTGGGCATGCCAATGAGGCAGTGGAGGTGTTCCAGGAGATGCGCTTGGATGGAACCAAGCCGGATCAAGTGACGTTCCTGGAGATGATGTTTGCTTGCAGCCATGCCGGATTGGTGGAGCAAGGGATCTTTTGCTTCTTGTCCATGGTTAGAGACGAGAGGTTGACACCGAGTGGTGATCACTGGAGGAGTTTGGTGGATCTTTTGGGAAGAGCTGGATGGATTCGAGGGGCGGAACAAGTGGTGAAGGATATGGCTGGCAGTGCTGATCCTGTGGCTTGGACTACATTAATTGGTGCTTGTATGATTCATGGCAGAATAGATCACGGGGTTTGTATTGCAGAGGGTGTTTTGGCAGGGGATAATAAGGCTCATGTTGGAGCTCCGTATGCTTTAATATCCAACATATATTCTTCCAAAACTCCAAGACTATCTTGATACATTCAATTAAATTTTAATTCCAGGGCTGAAGACGAAACATTAAAGGGACAAGAGTGATGATCAAGCATTCTACAAGTGTAATCTAATGTTGACTAATGATATTTCTTTTTTTATTTATGCATTTTTATTGCTCAACTTGAATATGGAAATCTATCTATCTTGCTATACTATTTTATGTTTAGTTTATGTGTAATTTATATCTCTGTGGCAGTAGGTAGGGGGGTGAGCATAGCAAGCCATCCAAGCAGACAGCCTTAACTCCATCACTTACAAGATCAGTAGCAATTGTTTGAATTTCATCCCATCCTCAGAACTGATAATGAAAGAGAAAAGGGAGAATGGCTTTCCCTTATAAGTGGCTGAAGAACTTAGGCTGTTTCCATGAAATTAAGAATGTTAAAACCCGATTAAATAGGAGAGCTTTAAGGCTTGTTTTTTGCCACTAGACTGCAAATAAGCTGGTGGCCGTAAATCTATCACCACAAGACAATAGTAGCAATTGTGTGATTTCATCCCATCCTTATAGCTGATCATAACTCTTTCTTTCCCTCACAAATGGCTGTCAAAAGAATCTCTTGGTTTGTATGTGGCAAGCCTTCTCAACCTCTTCAGAAAGTCCCCTAGCTCAGAAACTGATTGATCTGTATGATGTAAGCCCCTGCAAGTTAAAAGCTGAGAACAAAGCCTAGAACGAAGACTTTTGTCTTTCTTGGGGTGGCAAATATTATGGAGGGAGATAACTTTTGAATTCATAGAACTGTTTTCCTGTGAAAGATAAAATCAATCTTAGCCATTGCTTAGGATATCACTTGGGCAAACCAAAAGTATGTAAGAGGACTGGTGAACCTGTTCCATAATGATATTGGATTGTTGTCTCACATTTCAAAATAGACAACACTGCAGATGAGAGTCAAAGAAACAACCAGCATAAACCAAGTTTTAACAGCTCAACCTTTGCATATGCAGAGTTTTTTTGGGTAATGAATAGATGTTTCCAAGCAATACATATGCATATCCAGCTCCATCGTTGCTCATGACAAAGAGAGATTTCGCGGCATTTTCAGCATGCTGGAGATTACTCGAACTTCTGCAAGCTCCAAGCAAACAGGTCCACTCGAGAACATCAGGCACAAATGGCATCAGTGTGATGAGTTCCTTAGCACTGTCAATGTGTCCTGCTCGTCCCAGCAAATCAATCATACAGCAGTAGTGCTGTCTTGTAGGCTCAACTTTGTAATCCATGATCATTGAGAGGAACCACTGCCGGCCAGCCTCCATCTTGCCAATGTAATTACAAGCTCCAAAGATGGCAACAAAACATACAGAATCAGGGCACTCAATCAACCGGAACAAATCCAGGACTTCAAAGACCCTCAAGAAATGACCTGTGAGTGAGTATCCACTGAGCATAGCTCCCCAAGATGCTATGTTTCGCTCTGGCATCGTCTCTAGAACTTTTCTTGCCAGATCCAACTGCCCATTGTGAGCATAGGCATAGATCATCACACTCCAGCAAGCTACATCCCTCTCGTGGATTTTGTGAAACATCTCCAGAGCTTCCTTGAGCTGCGAGTTCTGGGCATACGCATCTAGCATCGCATTGCAGCATATCTGATTTAGCTGAGGTATCCGGTCAAAAAGATGCTTCGCATTTTCAAGATGCCCATTCCGGGTATACGCAGCGAGCATGGCCGTCCACGTTACAATGTCCCGTTGTGGCATCTCGTCGAACAAAACCCGGGCATCGTCAACGCGGTCCTCCTCCGTCAACACGGTCAGCATTGTAGTCCACGTCATCAGATCCCTGTACGGCATGCTCTCAAACAAGACCTTCGCATCGTTAAGATGCCCATTCTGCGCATATGCCGCTAGCATTGACGACCACGATACCATGTTTCTTTCTGGCATATCCTCAAACACGCGCTTAGCACCATCGATTTGTCCCTTTTGTCCATATACAGATATCATCGCCGACCAGCACACGCAATCGCGCTGTGGAATGGAATCAAACATGGATTTAGCACTCTCAAGATAGCCAAGCCGGGCATATGCCGTTAGCATTGCCGTCCAGGAAACAATATCCCGCTGTGGCATGTCACAAAAGATACCCTTCGCCTCCTGGAGATGGCCTGACCGGGTATATGCCGTTAGCATCCCTGTCCACGACACGAGATCCCTTTCAGGCAGCGTGTCAAACATCTCCTTCGCATCTTGGAGATGCCCTGTGTGGGAATATGCCCCGGCGATGGCATTGAAGGAGATGAGATCGTGGACGGGCATGTCGTCAAAGACTCTCTTGCTGTCATGAAGATGCCCGGTTTGGGCATACACCGCGACCATTGCATTGTAGGAGACGAGATTTGGCTCTGGCATCTCGCGGAAGATCTGCTGCGCTTCCTCGAGGTGGCGATTTCTCGTGCAGGCGCAGAGCATGAGAACCCACGAGTAGGAGTTCCTCTCACGAATCGCATCAAAGACTTGCGAGGCGTGCTTGACGCTGCCGCATTTGCCATACATCTCGACGAGCTTGTTGAGGAGGAAAGTGTCGAGATCGATGTGAGGGGAGGACTCGATTCGAGAGTGGAGCTCCCTGGCGGCGCTCAAGCTCCTACAAGACTGCACTAGATGGAGGCATTCCCGCCTGTCCATCACCCACGAACCCTAACCCCTAACGGTCTCCATGTCTCTGGAAAGGGAAATCCCCCAACGGTTTGATATGAAGGCTTTTGCGCGGCGTCAGGCGTCCTTGGATGCCATCGTTGTCGCTCAATCAATGCTGGAAGGAGCTTAAGCTTTTCGATCCTGGTTATGAACAATGATCCGTGAGAGAATGTGGTTATATGCGATAATCTGAGAGAGAATAGAACACTTTTCGCAAGTCGAGCATTTGGTGACCGCCCCTCGGCTCTGTCTCGCCTGTAAAACATCGGTCACGCAGCCACGGGAGGCCTGGCGACTCTCACCGATCCACCAGAGTATAAAACCCAATATCACATTCATTCACTTCCATCCATCACTCCTTTCTCTTCCTTCGTCAAGTTCTTAGTTATGGGGACTAACGCCAGGACGCCTTGGGCTCTGTGCATCACGCTCGTCCTCCTTTTCTCGGCCAATGCGGGATCCAGCCAGGAGTTTGCCACCGATCCATTCGGCGCGAGCGCGCAGCTCGGCGGCGATGCCACCGCTACCTCGGTGGATTCCTCCAACAGCCTTGGCGGCGGACTGGGTGGCTTACTAGGAGGCGGCGGCGGAGGTGGTGGAAGCGGCGGATTTGGTGGCCTGGGCGGTGGCGGAGGATGCTCCAGCAAGTAAGCTCTAGTTCTTTCCCAAGATCTGTCACTCTCCAGGTCAAATCCCCATTGTCAGTTAGCAGAGGATAGTTCCCCCAAAACAGAGCTTTCTTGCCCAAATCCTCGATCTAGAGAGGATGCCTTCTTCCTTCTTCCTCGAATCAATCCTTCCGATTGATTGACAATTGCAAGAACTAAGCGTCACTCCCGATTGAATTGCAGCTACTGGGCGCAGCATCCAAACTCGTGGCCCAACCTCCTCACGATCTACACCACGGTGACCCAAGTCCTCGGCCAGGTCGCGTACACGATCTTCGGCGGCCCCACGACGCTCCTGGGCGCGCTCCAGAACCAGTCCACCGATGCCTACTCGTCGCTCCTCCGCGAGGCCACCGCCGCGCTCCTCAACTCCTACTCGCGCCCCGGCTTCCAGTACTCGCCCTCCGCCATACGCACCGCCTTCCAATCCTCGCTCCACAGCCAACGATCGGCGGCGTACCAGGCGGCGCTCTTCCGCCACGCAAACTCTGGCTATGGCGCCGATTCCTCGTGCTCCTAGACCCAAGGAGGAAGAAGGCGGGTTAGCAGCTAACTCATGATTAAGCCTAATAAGCATGATTAGTTATCCGTATAAATGAGTGATTTTTCGTTGGTGTTGTCGAGGAAGCCCATGATTGAAATGCGCAAGTAGTGATTAATCATGCGCCTAATTTGTGCCTAGTACAGATGATTAGGGGCTAATCACCCGAGGTCCTGGCACGAGCATGTCCAGACAGCGTGCTGGCCAAACGCGCGCCCGCCTTGCAAGAAGCGCGGCCGGGCAATGCAGCGTCCATGGCAGCTCCCGCCGCAAACGTTTTGGCATTGCGGCGGCCTCGAGCCCGGGTGTCGGCTGCTCAGGATCTCCGCCTCGGTGCTCTTGCTCTTTTGTTTTGCCAATCGACGAGGCCGATCGATCGATCGATCGAGACCACAGTAGAAATCGAATCGAGAAGAAGGCCGAGAGAATGAGAATGAAACCCAGTGAGTAAAGCTTCAATCCGAAAGAGAATGTGAGTACGTACCTGACTATAGCTCGTTTGCGCGAGGAGATCATCCAAGGAGGGACTAGCGCTTGAGCCTGGATTGAGACAGAGCGTGGATTAGCGAGATGATTTTCTATGTTGCGGAGATAGAACACTTAACCGTGATCATCGCCCAGTTCTTCCATGCTCAGCAGCCACCGATAGCGATGAGCTCTTGATCCAGACACGATCATCGACACCAACACGACCCACAAGAGAACGATGCAGCGATTTCGACGAGAGGCCAGCAACATATCCAAGCGCGCAGGCTCTTGCTCGAAAGCCGACCGACCGACCGATCGAATCGAATCGACCTAGACAAGTGCAAAAAAGAAGAGCGGAAGGGAGAAATCCGACAGGCCAAACGAAAGCAAAGCTGGGAGCGAGCGAGAAGATTTTCAATGCGACCAAAAGTGGCTATTCTCGCAAGCTACATCCGTTTAAAGTGTGGGGAGGAGGATATTCCCGTACATACGACAGCATCTTGTGACAGTACTCCTCATCGTCGTTTTTGCGTGTGATGCCGTGCATGGCATAGCACGCCCCTCGGCCAGCTTAAAGCTCTCTTGGTCTAATCCAGCCGTATAACTGCATTACCATTTCTACGCAGTCGTATAGAATAGACCGTACTTTCTACAGCTTTGTAGTTGCATTTGCAGCGCAGTGATGAATCCAAATCACGGGTCATTTCGTGGCACCGACGCGGGCGCACGCATTCATTCCCGCTATGGCGGCTTAAAGCGCGATTAGTTTGGCTGTTAAGCATGTATATAATCTCTTCCAGAAGCTTTGGAAGAACGTTGAACACTTTGTCAACGATGGTCAATAGGTCAATTAACTTGGGAGGTCAAATCGTTTATAGTAGAGCGTTGACCATTTTGTCAATGCCTGTCGATAGTTTGGAAGAGCGTTGACCGCTTTGTCAATGCCTGGCCAGCATGTCAAATAGGTTTGTCATTTTGAAACTTTGACTTTGCGTAGACGAGAAATCTGTGCGAGCTTTGGATCTGGGAAGAACTTATTTTATGGAAGCTCTGCGAGTGGTCCTGGAGGAGCCTCCGGCTTTGGGCGCCGCATCTGGAAGAAAGAAAATGGAAGACAGAAAAATTCTCGTCAAGAAGCGAGGAATTGCGTACCTCCAGCGAGCTTGTTGGATCGCTGAGACGGAGGGACGAGAGATTTTCTTTGCTCGCTCTTCCTCACGGAGCCCCTGGCCATGGAGCTCCTCGCCCCCCCGGACGACGAGTCGATCGACGCAGTGTCCTCTGGCGGCCGCGGCGGAGAGATCTTCTGGATCATCTCTGGTGGCAGCACGGTCCCTTCGCTAAATCTCCTCACCGGCGACCCCTTTCGATCGTAGAGCTTAGGCGATCCCCCCTGCGGGACGAGCGGTTGCCCCGGCGCGACAGTGATCGTCGCTCTCCTGGGCTTGTCCGGCTTGGATTCCACCGCCTTGATCGCCGCCGGCTTCGCTGGGCTGGGCGGCTGCTCCAGCGGTGGCTGCTCCTCTTGGATCGGCGGCGCTGGCGGTGGCGACACCTCCTCTGGCCGCTGCTTGACGGGGAGAACGCATCGAGCCCAGGTATCGAGCGGCGGCAACACTGGCTCCTGGGGAACGATCCACTCCTCTGGTACCCTACCTTGGACGATTGGATCGTCCCAGCTCTCCATCCGCGGCACCAATCCCACGCTCACCATATGAACCATCTGGAAATCCCAGGGCCAGGGGAGAAATCCGTGACATTGGAGCTGGATCAAAGGGGAGAGAGAGAGAAAGAGAGAGAGAGAGAGAGAGGAGAGATTGCTTACCCCGGCCATGGTTCTCGCCACGGCGTGAGAGATTATGCGAGGGAAGTAGACCTTGTCCTTGAGATACTGATCGAAATTCCCCCACAGCGCCTCCATTGCGTAGTTGACGCACTCGTCGCGCTGCGCCGGCGTGTCCTTCTTCGGCGCCATGAGCCCTAGATTCGAAGCATATTCTCACGCGTTTAAACATTGGCGCCGAGGTACAAAATTTCGAGAAGTTTGCCAACGTCAAGATCGAGAAAAAAGCATTTGAGGCAACTAGATCACCATCGAAATGCTGTGCTTCATTCCAAACCGCGACAACCATTGTACAATCTCACGCATCGGCGGCCGCGTCTCTGGATCTTTCCTCACGCAGCGATGGGCGATGGAGGCCAGTTTCGCCAGCTCTTGGAGGTTGCAATTCCCGTTTAGTCGGGAGTCCAGCAGCTCGATCCAGTCGGAGTTTTCTTCGTCCACACCCAGGGAGGCCTGCGAGAGAGAGTAAATCTGCGATGAATCAAAACAACAAGGACAATGGGAGTTACCATTTGGACGTAGTCCATGAGGCCGTGCTGTGGATGCCTGCCTGACATGAGCTCGAACAGAAGAACTCCAAAGCTGTAGACATCGCTCTTCTCGTTGAAAACTTTGGTGAAGATGTACTCGGGATCGGTGTAGCCAAATGTGCCTTTGATTCCCGAGGTTGGGACTACTGGACTCACTTCCTTGGAAAGTCCAAAATCTGCTACCTGAAAGAATTTTTGGAGAGTCTATCAACAACAAAAGTGGAAAGAAAGGAAAGAAAAGAACTCGACATACCCGGGCTGTCATTGAATTGTCTAGAAGAATGTTAGCGGACTTGATATCTCTATGGATCACTGGTGGAACTGCCTATAGAAAACAACTTCATGAGATTTTTGAATCGAGAACTTCAATTGTAGTTACCCCGTCGTGCAGATACTCAATGCCCCGAGAAACGTCCTTGGCGATTTGCACTCGCTCAGACCAGCTCAAAGCTTCCCTCTTGTCATCTGATAATACAATTGATCACGCTGAGAAAATTACAAAAGAGACACCTACTGTACAGTAGTTTTTCCAAACTCCCGTTGCTCATATACTCATAGACGAGCATACGTTCTCGACGATCGGTACAGTAGCCGACTAAGTTTACGAGGTTTTTGTGATGCAATCGTCCTAGCAAGCTCACCTGACAGATACAAAGATTACAAACGAAAGGACGAAGGTTTTTCTTACCTCGGTTTGAAACTCTCTCTCTCCTTGCTTGGAAGTGGAAGAAAGAACCTTCACAGCTAAACGAGTTGGAGAAGATGGAGATGGCGTTGCCTTGTACACAGGACCAAATGCCCCACTTCCCACTAGAGTTGTAAAGTTTTTGGTAGCCCTTTGGATCTCCCTGTGCAAAAATTTAAAGCAAGAAAAGAGAGTCAATGAAAGCTTGCGGCAAATTCCAGGAGAAATTCGCTAGGCTAGCTCGCGCGGGAGGAACTCACTTGTAAGAAAACTTTGTAATGCCGGGATGGAAGACGCTTGCTGGTTTGGGATGCCAGATCTCCACCGCGTGGTGGTCGTGATTGGTGCTGAATTGATCGGAGAGAATGGTGCTAGAATCGAGCCCATTCATGCGAATGGGTGCTGCTGGCTCGCGGAGCTCCGAAACACTCCGCGATTTGGCCTTGCCCTTCCTCCTCGACAGCACACAGGCGACTACAGTGATCAAGAACAGGAGGCCGGCCGCGGCAGCGAGGGAGAGTCCCACAATCACGGGGATCGAGGGGCCGCCAGAGCTGCTGGCGCGAGAAATCGAGGGAGGAGGAGAGGACATCTCGAAATTTCTCCCTTGCCCGGGATGGATGATGGATTACTGCTCGAGCTGGCCCCGATCATTGACCCCGTCAAGAGAATTCCTGGAGAAGCAGCGAAGCGCGGCCATGGTCGTCCTTGTGATTTAATTCGAAGGCGCCGTGCCCTAAAACTTGTCGCGCATTCCCGCGTCTCGACAAAGCCAAAGATAAAAGGAAAGATCCATTTCCATTTTTAATGACCCAACGTACGGACGCTCTCTTGCACGGAAGAACTTAGGGTTTATGCTGGAGCACGGTCCATTCCATCCCGGGGCGGCGATGATTGGCAGGATCGCGTTGCGAACGACGAGGCAGCTCCAGAATAGGTCTTTGATCGCTGGCGCTGCCAATGCGCGACACTGCTGGAAGGTGTCGGCGTTTCTACGGGATGGAGAAGGTACGCTTGGATTTTCCGCTGGGCGTTGTTTACTGGGAAATTTTTCTCCCAGGGCCTAGCATTTTCCGGAGGCCATTCCAGCATAGCCAGGCACAGGTATCCATTGTTTCTCACCGATTTTATGTTTTTTTTTCTATCTTGGTTTTTATGATCGATCGATGATTGGAATGTAGAATATATCGATGAGCCGGGTTTTCCGAGAGGACGATGTTCCAGTAAAATCTCCTCTAGCGGAGACTCCAACTTCCCCGGAAGCGGCTGGTGCTAGCTTCGAAGTGACTGCCACTCCAAAGCCCCCAAAGCCAAAGCCAAAGACTGTGAGAGCAATGCTTAGAGAAATACCTCAGGTTCGTTTCATTGTCTTGTTCTTTGGCTTATAGCATGAACTCTCTCACTTTTTTTCTTTTCTTGCGTTTTTTTAGAGCCCCAAGAAGATGAACCTCGTAGCAAAGGTTGTCCGAGGCATGCGAGTGAATGACGCTCTTATACAAATGAGCGTTCTAATCAAGCGTGCTGCCAGTACCGTTTACAAGGTGAAATTGCTTGCTTTTTCTCTTAACGAATCCTGTTCTTTCGATACTCATCGGATTCGTTGTCCAGGTTTTGCATTCTGCTCGCGCCAATGCGGTCCATAACTATGGCTTCGACGCTGAAAAGCTCATAGTCGGTAGGCCATCACACCTTGCGTCTAACAGCCGCTCACCGAATATTTTGTTTGTTGTCATTAGACGAGGCCTTCGTCGGCAAAGGGAAGTATTTGAAACGTATATGGCCACACGCGAGGGGTAGATTTGGCATCCGGGAGAAGAAACGGTGTAGATTGACGGTGCTTCTCCGAGAGATGACTCCCAAGGAAGAGATCTTACTGGAAAAGTTACGCGAGAAACAAAAGCGAGGGCAGTACATCTACAGAACGAAGCTGCTACCTCATCGGCTGACGGAAACGAGATGGTGCGAGCCGGGAGAGAAAAGAAAGGATCTTGCCATGCAGACTTCGAGCTACTAGAAACGGTTCAACCTGATCGTGAGTATAAGTGAGTAGTGCTGGTTAAGTAACGGGATGATACTTTGTTTTCTTCCTTGCTGCAAAAATCAACGTTTTCTTCGTGGCCTATTAGCAGGATAAAACCAGGGGGTAAAAAACAGGATGGAAGAACAGTAAAACCGAGTGGTGGAAACAGGATCAACAAGTTGACTCCGTAAGCTTCAAGCGGAAAGAAATCCCAGATCTCTCTGCTATTCAAGAAGAATCGCAAACAACAGGTGGATCTTCCGAAAGAAGAATTGCTACTCCGACGAACAAACAAACAAACATGGACGAGAGTGGACGACTCTTACAAGAGCAACGCTACCGAGGCGACGACGAGAGCGGTGCCGACTTGTAGTCCAGATGCAGCAGAAGGCTCGTTGGTGGGAGTTGTAGGCGTGGTAGGAGTCGTCGGAGTCGTCGGAGTCGTCGGAGTAGTCGGAGTAGTCGGCGTAGTGGGAGGCGCAGGTGTAGTGGGAGTCGAAGGGGTCGACGCCGCAGTGATGGCCACCTTCATGCCTCCAGCACAGTGACCAGCGACTGTGCAGATCACGTAAGTGGTTCCAGTGCCGACCGTGAGTCCTCCACCGTTTGCGACGGATTGGAGAGAGTTCGGCGTGCAGCTCCTCCAGTCGGCCTCCGAGACTACGTCGGCGGTGTGGCTTCCGACCCAGCTGAAAGCTGCCAAAGGTTCATTTTTTTAGCGAGAGGGGTGAGAAAGATCCGTTTTTTAGAGATCCAAGAGGAGGAGGAGGAGGAACTTACTGACAGTGTCTCCGGTGCGGACGGTGTTCGTTGTCGACCAGCTTGAGTAGTCGACTCCTTGGCGCCAGTCGATGCGAATGGTAGCAGACAGGACCGAGCAGTAAAGAGCCGCGAGGACAGTGAGGAGTAATGCTGCACTGCCACTTCCCTGAGCAGTCGCAGCCATCTCTTGGAGACAAGAAAGCAGGGATCTGAGCCGATTGATCTCCTGGATCCGAGAAGCAGAGGAGATGGAGGGGGGAGGAAGAGGAAAGTGTTGCTTTAAGAGGGGGCAAAGCACTCGCGGGCGCTGGGTTAATAAATAAAGCACGAGTCCAGAAGGAACAGGGAAGCTGACGGGCCAGAGCGAAAGTGGGGTAGTCATGGGCCACTTTCAAAGCTTGGTTGGTGAGAGCGAGAGAGAGAGAGAGCGAAACTTTCTCGATCGAGCACCAAAAAGAAAAGAAAAAGGGGGGCGAAACTGGGAGGGGAGCTTGACTGAAAGCTAGCGATGGAGTTAAGCGCGAGTTTGACGAGACAATTTGGAGAGAGGACGATGAAGCATGAGACGATTTCTTTCGCCGGATCGTAAGCTTGACGCGGTCTACAGTGGTGACCGGTGACGAGTTCTTCTCTGGAAGAAAAAAAAGAAAAGAGATGGAGTTATGGCTTGTGTTAAGTCCGCTTCTTTCGTCACTAAAGCGAGTTCTGTTACTTGTTTGCGCGTGTAGATGGATGGAAGAAGACGACACAACCTACTTATAACTCGGTGGAAGAAGGAGAAGGAAAGTTTAAAGAATGGAAGGGTCCGTGCTGCGAAGAAGTCTCTTTTTTGTCAGCTGGTGCTGCTAGAGAGTGGGGTCTATGATCTCTTGCGATGCGATGCGAGAGAAGGCCGCTTCAATGGGATACATGTTTGTTTAGACATTCTTCTAGATTTTCAGACTTTTTTCGTACGGCTTAACAAGGAAAGAATCGAAGAACAAAGCTCTTGTCAATCGAGGCCAAAGACTAGGCTCGCCGTGCCGTGACTTATCAGGCTCTGGTTTTGTTTACTCTCATTTTGGTTCTGTCAACCTCTGAGAAAAATATTGATCTACACTAAAGAACAGAACTACTGTAGGTATTGGAAAGGACCTGGAACCAACATTGGCGTTGATCATTTCTAGGCTGATATTTCAAGAGCAAAAAAAAAACAAAAAAAACCCTGTGCAACCAATGCGTGGTGTTTGACGTGCGCTTTTCTTTTCTCTTTTGAGTTAGTGGAGCTGAGCTTCAATAAGTCGGGACACATGCCCTGTTGCGTTGTCATGCAAAGAGTAAAGATCAAAAGGATTTACTAAACAAGAAGTATGTAAACTTGCCTGTACGAGCTGTGGAGTATCCAAAAGATATGGATCTCTAACGTATAAAGACAATGAGAACGACATGGCAAGAGCAAAGTCTAGTCTCATTGTGATACCGATGCCTCACTATTGTTTTCTATACTGAAGACAAATGTAAGAGAAGGGTAGGTTCTCCTTACATTCTACTTTGCTGGTCCCAACAGGAAGAACAGTCAAGAAGTGGATATGATTAGTTCTTCCATCTCAAGATTCCCCGGTATTGCAATGCCAATTTGAAATTCCTTGCAAACACTTGATGGATTCTTAACAACTAAAATAAAATTTAACTACTTTAAGGAGAACAAATATCAATATTATTATTGTAATTTTTTAAAATAATTTTGGAGTACCCGAATCTATAGTATAACTTAGAGGAAGACAAATTCAAACCATAAATTTTCCCTTCTTGCACATAATAATATTCTCATCAATCAAAAGGTTATGTCTCAATAAATATCTAACTCTTATGGGAAAAAATTTAGAGAATTTATTATGACTAAAGAAAATAGTATGGTCACTATTGCAAATAAATTAATTAATTGGTGACAATGCATTAAAGGAATTTATCAAAATTATATGGAACAACATAAATATTATAAGCTAACTAGCTGGTAAAAAACATTAATAAAAACTAAATTTTGTTGATAAAAAATATCAATAAAAATTAAAAGTAAGAAAATAAAAGTGAAATTTTTTTTACATTAGAATTATTTTATGAAAAATTAAATAAAATTTAGAATGGTTATATTTTTTTATGGTTTTAAGTATTTCAATACAGTTATAAATGAAGTATGAATTCTACATCTTAGATAAAAAAAATTATAATATATAAAATTAAATTTATACAAGACTTGTGATTGTTGATATGAAATTTGACTATAAATTTTTTCGAGCTTTTTGTTCTTTATAACTTATGAGCTTTGATGTTGAAGTTAGCTTTCATATCTTACAATCATTAGTGATATTAAGCATTATCTAGGATAATTAATTATCCTTGTTAGTGGTTTTCTTTAGTTATTGTTAGTAGTAGATGATTCACCATTCTTAGGGATAGTGGATTATTCTCCAATAATGATTATGCATCTTTATTTATAAAATGATTGATGATTTTTAGTGCTAGTTAGTTGTTCTTTTTTATAACTTTTATCCTTTTATGGTTTTAAGTATTTTAATACAGTATTAAATGAATTATGAATTCTACATCTTAGATAAAAAAATATAATATATAAAATTTAATTTATATAAGACTTGTGATTGTTGATATGAGATTTGACTATAAATTGTTTCGAGTTTTTTGTTCTTTGTAACTCATGAGCTTTGAAAATATAATATATAAAATTTAATTTATATAAGACTTGTGATTGTTGATATGAGATTTGACTATAAATTGTTTCGAGCTTTTTGTTCTTTGTAACTCATGAGCTTTGAAAATATAATATATAAAATTTAATTTATATAAGACTTGTGATTGTTGATATGAGATTTGACTATAAATTGTTTCGAGCTTTTTGTTCTTTGTAACTCATGAGTTTTGATGTTCAAGTTAACTTTCATATCTTACAATCATTGGTGATATTAAACATCATCTAAAATAATTAATTATCTTTGTTAGTGGTTTTTCTTGGTTATTGTTAATACTAGATGATTCACCATTTTTAGGGATAGTAGACTATTCTCTAATAATGATTATGCATCTTTATTTATAAGATGATTAATGATTTCTAGTGCTAGTTAGTTGCTCTTTTTTATAGCTTTTATTCTTTTGCATTATTATATATTTTTTATGGTTTGCTCTGGATTGGTCTTTTAGGTTTGAGATATTAGTAGGATGTTATTGATGCATGCTTGAGCAATTATAGTTCTTTAGTATTGTTGATCATGATCTATTCAAATTAATTAGTGTAATAATTAATATGAAAGAGTGTTTTGTTGGCCTTTACAGCATTCATTCTTTCATAGTGATTGTTATTCAATTAGTGTTGATCAATTGGGATGTTATTTTTTAGATGATAAATTTGTAAGTATTTTTCTTATAAATTGATGAGAATTTATGTTCTTTAGGCTTTTTTTTTGTAAGTTATTAGGCATGCTTACAATATTCAGTATTTAAGCTCTATCATTGAGTTTTCTTAATGATATACATACTATTAAATTTTATTTAATGATTAATTTTATATTTGCAAACTATAATGATTTTAGTGGTTCCTATAATTCTGGTATACTATATGATAATTTATTTGAAATATGTTTATATTCTAATATAAGTTTCTTCACTGATAAGTTGATGTCTTTAAAATATCTTTATCTATGACTTTAATATTGTTCATCTATTGATTTTTAAGTTTAGGCTAGTATAGATAAATTGGCTTTGGCACTTTATATGTATGGTAAAATCTTTCACTATGGGATAATTATTGTCGAGTGGTAATATCCATGTCTTTAATTTTGTTTAAAAGGGTGTAATTGTGTAAAAAATAAAATTGCATATTTATAATAGTCTATTTAAACCTTATTAACAAGTTTAGTTTGTATACTCATAAGAATTAAGGCCTTTAACTTCTCTCTATATATCACATGTAGGTAGGGGTATATCATTTTTTGTAAACTCAAATTAACAAGAGTGGCTCACTCCGTTGGTTATATCCTTATCGATGATGGTCGGAAAGTGTCTAAATGGTAATATATTTGCATTAAATAGAAAAGTTATCCTTTAACTCATTTAAGTTATTCAAATCTCAACCCTATAATCATATGTGCTACACTTACCCCACTTTTAGAGATGTCAATATCTTCATTGATTATTAAGACAAGCTATTTTATATGAGATAATTAGCCATCCATATGTACTGCAATCCCACAGTAGATACATTCATCTGTGAATGCCTAATACATATGATTTCAATTTTAAAGATAAAAATATACCTTGCTCATATTATATTTTAAATATCCACTAATCTATGGGAATCGAATCTATACCATTTCTTTTAATACCATATGTAATGCACCTTATCTCTCTCCTCTTAAGCCAATTGAAAAAAGTGTAATGAGAGAGCCTTTAGTGGCTATTTTATCCTCATTTATCCCCCAAAATTCCAAATATCCACAGTAATAGTATATCCATATCTCATCCCATAATTATATATGCTATAAAAACAAATCTAACACCATATTACTCAAGGAGTGATATCAAAATTCCTTAGAAAAAAAAAAGTATTGCAACCAAAGCTTTCTAATAAAAAACCTAAGATAGTGTAGTGCTTCACTATTGGCCATCTCACAAGTCACTATTTATAAGACTATTATAACCAATATGCATTAAAATAAAGACTCTCATTTACATTATATGAATACAAATAATGAGTTACACTTCATTCCAAATCATCTTTCAGAGAAAAAAAAATGATTTATAGATTTGATCTTTTATCTCTAATGGCTCTCTTTTCGGTTTTAACTTGACTAAATCTTAAATTTGCATTCACACTACCTTCAATCCAATCCAAAAGAAGTGTATGAGAAAGCATGGCAATAACTACTTAGATTAATAGATTAATCTCTATTGTCTTAATTAATTCACTTATAATCATGCTTAGCACTAGTGCTATACTAAGACTACAGACTAACTTATTTGCCACTCATAATAAACCCAATAGAGGTTTATTTTTACTTATGGTAACATAATAACAACTTATGGTAACCACTAATAACCTAACATTAATCCTATCAACTCAAAGTATAATCTTAAGTTGCTAATATGCCTCACTCCCAAGTTTAAAGCATTAGGCCATTGAATGAAAAAATGAAGCCAATCTTATAAGCATACATTAAGGAGCGAAAGAACTAGAGCATGGTATAACTCTTGAGCTTTTAGTTTAAGGAGCAAAAGGACAGGAGTACAAAGCGACATAAGAACAGTCATAGAGCATTTAACATTTCAATACTAAACTAATACGCAAAACAAAGCCAAATAGATTTTGGTATTATTTTAGCATAACACAAAAATATGAGTATTCCACCAACTAATATGGTATAGAGTTTGAGCTTAAACCCAAGCCAAATGCAAAGCAAGGATAAATATGC